TGCACACCACCGGCCCAAAGAGCTCCTTAGGAAACAGTGTGAGAAGCCAAAATTAAATCTTCATTTCTCCACATTTTCCATCCATTGTTTTAAATAATTATTTAGAGCCAGTGCTTAATTGAAAGAACAAAATATGGGTAATGCCAAATTGGAAAAGGGAAAAGCAGCTCAGGGATTTGAAAGCAATCAGTGAGGCTCTGGGGCACAAGGAGGTTCATTTCTTAATCCAAGAGATGGTGCAAAAAGAGAGGGAGCATTGCTACACCTGGTGCTTACCAGCATAGATTAAATGAATGTTGGGGGCTTTTTAATTTATTTATACGTTATTTGTTTGCATGTATGTTTTTAAATGGTAAAAATGTCAACATTAGCAGCAGCCCAGGCTGCAGTGATCATGGCCTGGTGGTTTTCACAAGCCTGAGGTGTTGCCATGATATTTTCTGAAAAATCCCTTTGCCAGATTTTTTCCCCTGAGAAGCTGACAGGCCTCAGGAACAAAATGTAAACAATGATTATCTGCTGCTGTGGAATGCAACAGGTGCATCTGTGATTGGTCTCATGGGGTTGTTTCTAATTAATGGCCAATCACAATCAGCTGGCTCAGACTGTCTGGTCAGTCACAAGATTTTATTATCATTCTTTCCTTTCAAGCCTTCTGCTGAAATCCTTTATTCTATTCTTTTAGTATAGTTTTAATATAATATATATAATAAAATAATAAATCAGCCTTCTGAAACAAGGAGTCAGATTCTGGTCTCTTCCCTCATCCTGGGACCCCTGTGACACCACCACACCTGAGGTATACAGGCCAGGCAAGGAGTCAGAACTCTGAATTTTAGAAGACCAAACTTTCAGTTGTTTAAGGAATCAGTGGATACAACTCCCTGGACACCTTCCCTCAGGGATAAAGGAGCTGTGCAGAGCTGGCCACTCTTTAGGAACCTCTTTATTCAAACAAAGAACACTCAGTTCTTCTTTTGGAGCAGCTGCCAGAACTGTGCAAATTGAACACCTGTAGTGGCTGGTGTGACAGTAGTTTCAGATTGAATCACCACACTGCTGCAATAAATTGGACTGGGAATGCTGAATGCTCTTTTGGTTGTCTTTGCTGAAAAGGATGAACCTAAAGTGTGTTTGCCCTTTGTAAAGATGAAGAAAGTGATCCTTAGGAGGCCTTTTCCCTTGCAGTTGGTGATAACTGCAGTTCACTGGGGTTTGGATAAGGTCCTGTGTCATTTTTTCAGTGATTTCTGAAGATTTTACTGATACTGGAACAGTTCAGAAGCTGCCACATCCACCAAGTGCACATCTTTAATACCTGTGACCAAATCATACAGGGAAACATAACAGCACAGAAGTCAGCAATAAGTTACAAGGCTGCTTTTATTAAGATACAAAAATTCCTATAAACAGACTCAGTCACAAATAGCAGTTTCTGCTGAGCATGCAAGGCATCAAATGCAAGCTACTGGTTCACATTTCATCCTGAGGAGTGGTGCTCAGCTTTTGAAAATGGCATAGCTCCACCAAAATCAACAGGCAGATCTCTAATCCTGTCACCTCCAAGAAGATCAGGATTGTATGTACTAAAAACTAGAAAAATATTTACAGTAAAATAGCTGAGCCTGACACTGAGTGCAGAAGCCAAACACATTGCACATTTGACAGCAAATTGAGAAAAAGTTAAGAGACTCCTACCTAACAAGAACTCATGGTTATGCTGTTGTCCAAAGAAGCTGTGGAATCCTCATCCCTGGAAGTGTCCAAGGCCAGGCTGAGCACCCTGGGGCAGTGGAAGGTGTCCCTGCCCATGGCATGAACTTGGAGCTAGGTGGTCTTTAAGGTCCCGTCCAACCCAAACCATTCTATAATTGCACGTTCATCAGACCAAGACTGCAAAGATAATTTATAGTTTTACCACTTACAACTAAATGGATTTTTGTTTAATCAGGATCTCATAACTCTTATTTCCATAAGGAAAAGACAAGTCAAAGTGTCTTAGTCCTTATAGAGTCACTTGAATCTAAAGCAGAATGCAAATGATTACTCTGAAATTTATTGATATAAATAATCTCTAAAATCAATCAGTTCAACCTTTTGCAAAATGTGAAAGTCTTTTACCCAGTAATCTTACTACCTAATGGAAATTGGACTAGGAGGATAGAAAAGCCACCTTCCTATGCTATTCTGTACCCAAAAATCAGCACCTCAGTGCTGTGACTACTGGAAACATCCATGACTTCAAGCTGATGACCATTTTCCACTGAGAGTTATTTATAATGCTGTCCATTGAGCTTAAGGAGGAATTTATTTATAAGTTACTGAGTTGGATGTGACCCAGGCACAGCAGATTATCTCTGTGTAGGAGGAGTGAGTGCAGCAAACAGAACCCAGGGCTGGTGGGACAAGTTATTGTCACCTCTTCCCCTCCCACCTTCCAACACCCTCACTGAGGAGGAGATTTGGGGCAGCAGAGAAGAGCAGCCCAGGAGAGAGCCCTGCATAAAGAGGTTTTTGCTCCAGTTTATGCAGCTGACCAGACTGTTGTTGTACCCAATGGACTGTGCACAGTGAGCCTGTGCTGCTGCACTGATGGTCGTGCAGCCAGGCAAAATTCAGGCCAAATTTATCTCTTCATTTGCAAATGGAGAGCTCTCACTTAGGTGGGCAGCAGTGTGTGGCTTCACTGCAAAATCATTAGGGTTTAATTGAGCTGAATACACAGGGACCAATTGATTTATCTGGAAAAACATGGGCTGCCGGCAACAAAAATAGGGGTTTTTTTTTTGTTTTTCTTTCTTTTCCACTGAAACTTTGTCAATTGCAGAATGAATCAAATTTAAAAACTCATGCTGAAGAACACCCTGAGCAGGTTAAACCCCAGATCCACAGTGGATTTCCTTACTGGGTGGCAAGTCCAGTGGTGGTTCCCCAGCTTCTGTATACCTAAGGCGTTGCACAATTGGCTCTTCAACTATGTTGCAGCTCAAAGTTTCAACCTCACCCTGAGTAAACAGCAAATGACAAACTGAAAAAGAAATATCTCTGAGGGTCTGCTGATTTACTTCCTTGAATATCAATGGAAACATGCAGCTTGTCAATATTAATGGCACAACTGATGCTAAGATGAGCACATAGTGATATGTCACAGTGAGAAAATCAGATCTTGAAACTCAAAGAGAGAGCCAGATGTCTTTGTTTTCTTCCCTCCTATTTTATCAGTGGAAAAGCTGCCAAAATTCACTTCAACCTGGAGCTGTTGTCACAAAGAGTTCTCAGGATACCAGGGAAGAACCAGATTGCTAAGAAAAAAAAAGGTGCAGGGGAGAAAGGGGGTAGAGAAGCTTTTTATATATTACAATAATTTGAAAGAGTCAGTGATGTGCAGAGCAAGGAAAGCCAAATGTTGAGTGAAGACAAACTTCAGTTCTCCATGTGATATGACTCCACTAGAAAACAAAATATAAACCAAATTAATCAGGATTGAGACAGGTAATCAACTCCCTTCCAAAGACAGTAAATACATGGGAAAGAAGAGCTGAGTAGTGCCAGCTCCAAAATGGAGCCATCAGCTGAGGCTCCATCATGATGGAGAAGTGTTACGAGCCTGACAACATCCTTTATGCTACAGCACCTTTGCACAACTCCAGAATTCCCATTACGGAGGAATTACTCAGAAGAGCAGAATGATGAATGCAAGAGAAGCCACTCTTGCCCTGTGGAGAGACTCAGAGATTCCATGAGTAGGTTTGAGTTCAATGAACCTCAATATGCCCTTTTAGCTGGCTCCATGGTGGGATTTAGGATGGAACTGCAGCTGCTGGAGTTGTACCAAGCAGTCTTGGGTACCTTCCCTTGGGGCTCCTGGCACGTCCAGCCCTTGGGAAGCCACCAGAGCATCACCCTCACCTGCAGCATCTCCCAGGAGCTGCCCAGAGATGGGTAAGAGGGTGGCCTTGGGATGAAAGAGATGGAAATACAGCAAAATACAGTGACCACTCAGGACTTAAAAGCAGGAAGCTGGGATGGTGCTCCCTGCCCTTTGCCTGGGTGTATATTAAATTATATAACTCTGTGTTCATTAAATTGAAATGGATTATCTGCAAATGCCACAGGGATGTGTCCAGTGCATTGTCCTGTGAGAGGCCTGCACCAGGGAAGGGTCACTGACTAACTCTGGCAATAATGGCAAATAAACCCTTTTCCAGGAACAGAATTCCATCCACAGCAAACATCCTTGAGCTGTGAAGTGCTGTTAGGTGTTGTTCCTCAACCTGCCAGCTTTCTCACTTCTCTCTCCTCCCCTTAAAGAGACAAGCATGCAAATGATGCTGACCTGCTAGAGCAGACTAATTTTACAGAAAAAGTGCTGAATCCTGTGCTATCCTGAAAAAGTGTTAAATTCCCAAGACCATGTGGCAGTGGTTTTCTCCTCAGAGCTGTGTTTTCAGATTCTCTGCAAGCACATGCAGGCACTGCTTATGCATCTCAATATTTCAAGCTCTTTATGTTTAACATCCCACTACTTTCTCAAAAAAATCTCAAAAAAATAATAATTAAACCCAAGCTTTTGCAGAAAGGGTTCTGAGAAGCTTTCTTGAACTTCTGAGAAAAATTTATAAAGAGAGTGGTAAAGTTTATCTCCTTTATTACACTAGACACCGATTTAAACCCAAAAATTACACGGTTTTTTTTGTGGAAATGCTTATTGGTGTTTTCTAAGGTGATGTGTCATTTGCTCTGACTGAGATCAAAGTCATGAAGGAAGATGAAGAACAAAATGCTGTCTTTCTCCTCTTGTAGTTTGTATCATTTGAAAATAGAGAAAAACAGTAGGAATTTCTTTCTTACTTGTATGGCCTTTACCCACAACAAAAAGGAGAGCAGCTTCAAATATTCTTATATAAAAGGGGGTCATATACAAATATTTCACCATTTCAGAAAGAGATAAACAGCTAAAAAATGCAACTGATCATAATTGAGTACTTACATGTGAGTCACTAATCATAGAACACTTGGTAGCTGAAGTTGTCAGACTTGATCCTGAGGTTGCATCTTCCTGTCTTTCGCTGGTACTGGAAAATGAGCAGGGTCACAACTCCCAGCACAAAACCAAGCACAGCAAGGGCTATGAGGATGATGGATCCAATTCCCATTCCAGCCTCCTTCTCTCTCTTGGAATCAGATGCTTAAAAAAAAAATTAATCAAGAGGTGAAAGAAAAAATCTTGAAATTCCTAGATCTTTTAGTGGGGAGAGAAACAAGCCCTGCATGTTAATTAGCAATGTGCCAGTACAGAACTGTGCTACAGAAATGTATCAGCCTCTGGGGAGGGTGATTCTCATGGAAAGGGTGTGAGGACAGACCATGTTCTCTCTTTATAGTGTAGAGTCCCTGAAGACATGAGTGTGATTTTCAGCTAAAGTAAGAATTAAAGAATTAGTACTGGTGACTTTTTGAATGCTCCCTTACTTTCAGAAGTACTTTAGAGGGGAAGCATTCCCCTATCTTAACCCTGCCTCCATTCATCTGTGATAATGAAAATGAGTTGATTTGCTTTTCTCATGTATGTAACTGTTCTTCAAACACAGAGTATTTGGGGGAGGATTCTCTGCTGGATGTGGCTCAGTGGAGTGACACTGGCTTGGTGTCAGTGCTGCACCTGAGCAGTCGTTCAGAGCCAGCTGAGCAGCCTGGGGCTGTCTGCAATGTCTGCACAAGCCTGGCACACAGGGCCTGCAGGAGCCCTGTGCTCTGCTGGAAGAGCAGGCTCAGGGGGGAAGAAAAGAACGACCCAAATGCCCCAGAGTGGGCAAAACTCAAGTCCCACATTGCCAAGTGCCTCCCAAGGCACCATAGATCACAGACAGAAAGTGTTCTCCTGGTTCCCTTTGAAACACTTCCATATATTTGTCCAAATCTGCAAGCAGAAACCCCTCTCCCTTTATTATTATGCCTCTCTTCATGTTTGTACAAGTTCTTATAATTCCTTCCTGCATTTGCTTACATTTACAAAACATTTGTTTGCTTACACCTTCAGGACAGCGCTTGTTTTGCCAGGCACTTGTGTGGTACCTGAGGCACACAGAAGATAAATATCACTGCAATTAGAGACAAGGTTTCTGGCCAAAGGGCACTGCTGGCAGCCACAGAGGTCAGTGAGAGCAGTTCAAGCTACAGACACCCAGGGCATCTTTCCAAGACAGGCCAGAGCAGTGCTGTGTAATATAATCAGTCTCATTTTTGAATTTCAGCATGGAACAAAGGAATAAAGCAGAACATGCACAGTGGAAATGGCAGCCTGTGGCCAGACACAGGGCAGGCCCTCCTGGGGACATGGAACAGTGGCCTTTGCCATGGCATGTGACCAAGTGCTGGCAGAGCAGGTAAGGTTTTTCATGTTCACTGCAGCATTTACAGCTGTTATTACCTGACATCATTATCCATGTTATCCCCTTCAACACAGAGATGTAGATCACTTAAAATGTGGGGTGATTATCCAAACTAAAAATAAGAGACAGCATCCAAAAGTGCCACCTTTGCCTAGAAATCAATTTATCAATTTAGCACAACCCAGAGAAAGCTCCTCTCACCAGAGGCCTTTTAGGGAAATGACCATTTTTCAAAATTAGAAATGAATCAGGATCTCCAGCAAAAATGGGAATGGAAGCTACTTGTTGTAAGAGCTAAACAAAAAAAGCTGCATTCGTTACTTTATTTTATTCTTCTTTCAAGAACTAATTCAGAAGTGAGCACAGAGGGCCTGTTTGAACAGACCATGTAATGGAAGAAAAATACTTTCTCCTAAGTCAGAGTAAGTTCCTAGATCCAAAAGAACATTATGAACTTTCAGTTTATGGCAGCCATGATTCAAAACTCTGATATTGGTGAGCCAAACCCCTCTCAATGAGTGTTTTATGTTAAGGTATAAATGTAAAGCTGGAGGGGGCCAAATGACTGAAAACATGGGAGACCAAGAGTGCTCTTGAAAGCATCACTCAGGTTAAATGCAGAAAATTCAGGTGCATAACAAATTAGACTCTGCTTGTCCCTAGTGCTGGTGTTCGCCCTCAATTAACCTGCACTGCACCAAATTACCCAAGGGCGCTGTGCATCAGCTGTGCTCTGCCACTTCCCTCACTGTGGTAATGAAGTCAGCACCAGGGAGCCAAAGGAAACACAACAATAAAATCTCCTGCATCCTCTGATTTGGGACTTCAGAGCCCAAAATAATTGCAGACTAACAGCAGTGTAAACACTTGGAAAACCGATTGCAATCTGAAAGATCGACTCCGCTTTCACACCTTACAATTGAAATAATTGTTTGATTTTGTGGTTGTTGCACTTGCTACCCTGTGCAAACAGCCACACAAAAGCACTTTATCTTCCTTTCTACATTCCCTTGACAGCCTGACAGTCCCTGTTCCGAGGAGGGCACGTGCTTCTCCAGGCTGCCACGTGGCTCCAGCAGGAATGCCTGCTCCCAAGGAACACAGAGGGGCACAAAAACCCCTGTGTGTCTGTTGAAGATTGCAATGCAAGATGTTTTCCATTACCCTCTGTAAGGCAGATTACCTTTGTCAAGTGGGCAGTTTGCCTTATCTCTCTCTTTGAGTGACCACAATCATTCCTCCTTCGGGAGGGAACATCTGCTGATAACAGACTATTGAATGTCACTGCATGACTGATAAGAACTACAGCATCCCACTGGGAGATGTGAGCCCAGAGGGAGGAGCCAAGCATTCCTACCCAGATATAATCCAGAGGTTTTGAGACACCAGCACGGCTTTCTCCACAGGATTCCCCAGAGGAACAGCAGCTGTCTCTTCTCCCACTGGATCTGCAGAGGTAGAATACATCCTTCTCTACAGGCTCCCTGCTCCAGCAGAACCACCCCTGACACTGCAGGAGGGCTGAGCCACAATTCCAATGGGACTGCTGCCAACACCCTGACCCACAGGGTGCCAGGTTGGGTTCTGACTCTGTCAGTGTTGTTCTAGTGTACTGCATTGTTTATTTTATCCTTTTTTTTTTCCTTTCCCTATTAAAGAACTGTTATTTCCTGCTCCCATATTTTTTGCCTGAGAGCCCCTTAATTTAAATTTTATAGCAATTCAGAGGGGTGGGGAGGGTTTACATTCTCCATTTCAGGGGAGGCTCCTGCCTTTCTTAGCAGACTTCTGTCTTTCCAAACCAAGACAGTGTCACAGGCCAGCACAAAATAATCCTGGCATGATAGTCTGTTCTCAACTCACCAGCTGATTTCCACAGGGGTCCCCAGGATGTTCTGTGCAGGGAGATGGTTTCTCCAGCCTTCAGGATTCGAGGCCTTGCGTGGCACCTCTGCAACATAATTCAAACTCCAACAACTCATGTGGCTTATTAATTCAAAATACAAAACTCTCTGAAGGGCTTGTGAGAGCCCAGTGCTACTCTCACCAACCACCTTTTGTTTCTTAATGTTATGCTCTGTTAAACTGAAATTAGCACCAAAAGAAATGGCATCGGGGAAAAATCGGTATAAAATCTGTAATTAGTCACACTGGAACACACTGCTGTGAGCAGACATTTCACACAGACAACCTTTTCATTAACTTGCTGTTTGTTTTTGTAAGAGAAACCTTATGGGAGAATAAATTTATCACTAATGCCAGGGGTTTGCAAGCACTTTTGTTTGGATGTTTGTGCTGCCCATGGCAGGCACAGTAGATCCTGCAGCCAGCACCAGCAAAAGCAGCAGCAGCTCTCAGATCCTGCTGAGCCAGGTGTCATTCTGAAGCTACCCACAGCTTCAGTGACAGAAAACCACTAATCTGGGAACTACAAGGCTGAAATCCCTGTCCTGGCAGCACATTCACAGGCATTTTCTGTGCACTTCCTTTTTTTATGTTTGCTGCCTTTTTGTTTTAAGTCGCAGCCCAAAGGTCCCTGATGGGAACCAAAACCTCCTGGCATTATTCAAACGGTACTGTGGCTCTCCTGGAAGGGCACAAAAAACCCCAGAGAAGTGGCAACATCATACCATGACCAACAAAATCAGCAGGATGGTGTCTTACCAGCTTGTTTACACCAGAATGTCCCATCAGAGTTATCAGTTTGGTTGCACTCGAAAACCTCTACAATCCCCTGCCAGCAAAAGTGTCTGCAGCTGGGTCAGCCCCCAGAAAAATACCCATGTGGTTATTTATGACTTTGGTCTGCTCTCAAGTAGCTTTCCCATTAGAGAACACATTTATGTAGTTGCTCCCTGGTGGCAATGAATTTTTGGTTCTACATGGCCATGGAGCAGCCACATTCCACCAAACATCTGCATGGTGATGGCACATCACTCCTCTTCCCATTCAAAGCAATTTTTCTCACTCATTTCTTGCTGCTTTTCTCCTCAGCCAGTCAATATTTTTCAGCTCTAAACTTGAGAGCACCTTACTCTCTTCCACAGAGGAAACAAGGAATAAATAGACTGAATAAGAGGAAATGATCCAAGATGTAAATATTGAGTGTGTGGGTGAAGAGCTGAGCTAAACCTGCCCTGAAGAAAGTCACTGTTCCCCAGAGTAACAGATCAGAGGGTCAGATCCCAGGCCCAGGGCAATTTCCCAGCCATCTTGCAATATTTACAAATATCCTCTGTTCTTGCTCATCTTCCTTGATCTTTTCACCTTCTGCAGCTCCTCTTCCCTTCTTTGTAAAAGCCATTGCTCACCCTGTGTAGATATGCCTGGTGTTTGACTTCCCACATCACAATTTAGCCTCAGTTGACTAAATTGAGGTTAAATTGTGGTGTGAGGAAGACAAGGACTTCTACTTCTGAATAGGGGTAAATTTTGCATAGGAGAAAGAACAATTAATCCTATAGATATATTTATATTCATACTCAGCTGCAAAAACTGGAGCCATCTTACCATTGTCATGTTTCCTGTCCCTACTTTTTTTTTGGTTTATTATTTTCTTTTAATCTGGAGGAAGCCTTATACTTTGAGAAAGGAAATAAGCATCTTCTGGTAGCATTTTAAAATCCTTTAGGAAGAGACCCTTTGCTTTATAATGAGTTTAAACTGTTTTATTTAGAGCTAGAGGAAAGTGTTGAACAATGGGGGAACACCAAGCTGCTAATGAAAACATCCTTGATAGAAAAAGAGCCAGGAAGGCTGGCAAAGGAAGAGGAGAATTCCCAAGTGTCAGTTAGTAATAAAAAAAGCCATCAGTTAAACATATTTTTCCTTCTTTCTATGGTAGCAACACATTTTCAGATAAAGCTGTGTATCACTTACTTGCAAGTAAAAAGAAACAATGCAATGCTTTGTAGCACAGACAATTAAAAACTGCAGTTCTTATCAGAACATGGCTTGGATTATTGCTTTAAAAAGCAATCAGGCTTTTAAAAAGCCATAATAATCTCTATTAAAGTCACAGCCCTAGAAACTTAATGACACTGAGCTTCCTTTCCTGCCACCTAAACGCTCAGTTGAAGAAGCAAATCTGTAGGGGATAAGAAAAAAAGGACAGAACAAAATACAAATTTACTCAGAGATTCTTCTGAGACTGCTACTCTGGGAGTTCCTATTTTGTGACACATCCATCTGAGCTGATACTTTTCTACCCAAGCTAATTTCATTGCCTTTTAGTCATCTTTAAAATGAGTGAAAGGTCCAGTTCTCAGGTTCCCAGCTCTGTGCAAGCTCCATGCTTTTTCTAGCAGGAAAAGCTGATACTTCCACATGGTTGTGGTGTTTCCCCACTCCTCTCTGCTCTCAGCAGAGAACAAAGGAAAACTCTAGAGTTATTTTAAACCTTGTTTGGAAACATTACTCCTTCCATCCCATTGCATACATTTTCCACATGGCACTGAGAAAAATGCATTTTTGGGGAGGGAAATAGCAAATCAGAGCAAAACACTTACAGTCCTGCAGGTGCTTACTGGCGACTCCACACAAATACGAATTCTGCAGTGTAAGTAAACCACAGAGTTGTTGACAGAGGAGAAAATTTTCATCTTAAACTGAGCTTTGCTCGAATTCCCATTTTCCACCAGCGTGGTGTAAGTATTTGGGATGGGGCAGCTGAAAAGGGAGACAAAAACCACACAGAGCAACTAAGGCTAGAGAAGGCAGGTTTTGGTTATAGCACAGAACTTGGTTTTAAGGCTTTCCTTTCTTTGGGAAGTCACAGCCAGACCCTTCAAGAAGCAGCTCTGGCAGTGCAATGGTGATAAGGGGCTGTTTGCTGCTTTATTCTCACAGTAACCAAGTGGAACAGGAGCTGTGAGAAGTGGTTGGAGAGCTGGAGAAGGAAGGAAAGAGCAACAGAAAGAAAGATTTAAACTTGGCTTCACCAAACACAAATTGAAAAAAACCCTCAAACTTAGAGAACTAGATGAGCAAAATGATTATTCTGTATTTTAAGGTGTGCCTAAGAAATATGAAACTGGGGTGAGATCAGGAATCCAGACAGGAACAAACCTCCTCTTTCACCAGAGGCTGCTCTAATATCATATGTGAGGAATTAAATATCCTATTTCCTTGTTGACAAGAGACACATGAGCTCTTGATAAAGCTGCAACCACAAGCTCTGAACCATAGATCAGGAGATAAAGCACCCATTTTTCAAATGCTCTTTCACTACTGACTGCCAAAATCACCTTCAAGTGATTTCTTCAGGTTAAAAGGACAATTCCCTCACAAAACTGGGAGGAAGATGACCAAACCCAAAAAACTTTCACATAGCCCTTTGAAATCCCTTTTTATATCAACATTTCTTGTTCAAAGAAGGTGTAACCAGGTCAGATAGAAAGGGACTGTGCATGTGAATGATGAGAAGAGATGTAAAAGCCATTTAAAATATAACATATTATTAGTCAGTATTGCTGTAAGACCTAAGGCAGGGCTCATAGTATTTGCAAATGGCGTTGCTGTACCTGTTGCTGATGAAAACAAATGGCAGGGGATCCACTGAATTGTTGGTTGGAGTGGCCCAGCAGTCAGTGAGAACCACCTTGAGCTGGCTGTCTGCCCTCTGCATCCCCACCTCCATCAGCACATCCTCACTGGCAGAGACACTGAAATTTCGGGGCACTGGGGAGCTCCCAATGAACAACTGCATTTCTGTTCTGAAGTATCCAGGTCCATGCAAATCCTCAAAGATGGAGTAAAGTCTGAAAAATCAATTATCCCTTTTTAAAGACCACAAAGTTGACTGTGAGTTTCTGCAAGTCTTACATCAGTGCTTGTTTCCCCACATATTTAAAATCCGCAGTCCAGGATGGCAGGACACTGTTCAAAAGGAAAGGTGGAAAAGCATGGAATTTTCAGCTGGGAAGGTAGAGAGAATGGAAACACAAGTGGGAAAATCCAGAGGGTGGTCTCAGCTATTCAAACAGGGCAGAGAGAAATACCAGAGTGGAGCCGAAGGGGAACAAGGCTATAAGCTCTCTGAAAGCTCAAAATAAGGACAGTAAAAGCTTAGCCAAAAAAAAAATGAGACAGGGAAAATCTGAACAGAAAGTGAAAGACATGAGAAAATTATAGAGCTGAAAGAAAAGTGGCCTGACAAAGACTTTTCTGGGGAATAGGAAGGAAAATACAATCTCTGGACAGGGCTAGGAAACAGGAACTGGATTTGGTGCCAATAGTTTAAGCAGGATGATGGGCAGGAGAGGAGGTGCACTTGTCTGAAGGGAGGACACTCCCATGACAGAAGAGTTTGTGCTTGTGCTGTCACATTTTCTGTCAGCACAGCCCTGATTTTCTGGGAAGAGTGGCTCTGATTCCATCTTACCTGAAGGTGGGGCCTTTCACAACAAAAAAAGTATTTGTATTATGTATCTTCTGTTTTTTCAAGTTGACCAAATAAGGATTAGTGGAGGGTTAAAAACTGCCATTCTCAGAAGCCACATAGCAATCTGCAGGCCCATATCAGGTGGAAAGATGAATAATTTATATGCTCCAAAAGCAGAAAAATGCTGGTTTTGCTACAAGGGATTGCCCAGGAAGGCAATGAGGAGAACGGGAATTCTGACTCCTGAACCTGCAGTTCCCAAAGGTTTATTTCCACCTGTGGTTTAGCCAGGTAAAGGCCAACTTGTTGGATCTACTGGCACATTAGTTGGAGTAGGAGAGGAACACACAGCAGGGATCTCCTTGATGCCTTGGACTGGCTACCTAGAGCACAGGCTAGACAGAGTCAGAGAATAAAGTGGATATTTATTAAAGGCCTTTAACAAATACACCTTGGGCTGTGCAGGAGCCTGGCAGAGGCTACAGCCAAGATGGATGAGGGTCATGAGTTTTTCAGGCAGATACAGGTTTGGTCTATTTGCATATCAGAGGTTAATTGTTTCAGTAAGTAAGTCACATTCCCTCAGTTTGCTTCCCCCCAGTTTAATTTTGTTTATACTTTTCAGGCATGAGGCTGTGATGATGACTTTGGTTCTCAGGCCTGGAAGGATTGTTTTGTCTGACCACACTGTGAGGAGAGCTTACAAACACTCTACATGGAATTCAGAGTTACACACGAATGCAGTACAGGATCTGAAAAATAGAACAGCTAAAACTTAAGGCATCGTTCTGAGCACAGGACTCTCAGGATGGCAGACTGCTGACACTGGGTACAGCTACAGCCCCTGGGGGTTTCCCAATGCAGCAGCATCAGCCACACAGAATTTCAAAGCAGAGAGAAGTGTTACTCACCCTTCTGCAGTGAACCCAGAGGAAGTCAAGATCTCATTTTGAAACACACAGTAGATGGGACTGGCAATGTTCAAGTGGTGGATTATTCCCTGAGCAGAAACATCGTTCCAAAGGGTGGTTCTCACCACTGTAGTAGTCATGTTCTGCAGCACAGAAAGGAGAAAACACATCAATATTTCCAGGGTTGTACCAGAGCTTTCCACTTTCAGGTGCTTGGGTGTTCCTCATTCTCCTGACAGCAAAAATCAAACAGATTAAACCTCCAGTATCTTTGTTGCTGTACAGGGAGGGAAAGAAAATACACCAGTCTTCTTCCTTTTCCTTTTTGTCATATCATAGAAACATAGAATCACAGAACTCTGTGACGGTGTTCACAAGGATCTCACTTCATGTTTCAGACGGCTGATTTATTATTTAATGATATATATTATATTAAAACTATACTAAAAGAATAGAATAAAGGATTTCATCAGAAGGCTGGCCAAGAATAGAATAATAAGGAATGACAACAAAGGCTTGTGTCTCAGACAGAGAGTCGGAGTCAGCTGGACTGTGATTGGTCATTAATTACAAACATCCAACATGGGCCAATCACAGATGCACCTGTTGCATTCCACAGCGGCAGATAATCAATGTTTACATTTTGTTCCTGAGGCCTCTCAGCTTCTCAGGAGAAAAAATCATAAGGAAAGAATTTTTCAGAAAATATCATAGCTACAGAACTCTACCAACAGCTTTGATTGAAAGGGATCTTAAAAATCTTTACGTTCCAAACCCCCTGCCATAGGCAAGGCCACCTTCCACTAGACCAGGTTTCCCAGAGTCCCATGGAACCTGGTCTTGAACACTTCTAGGGGTGGGACAATGATCATTACTTAGCAATGGTCATTGCTCCAGGAGGGATTTTCTGTACTTTGGCATAGTCTGAACACAGCCATTGGTTTGGGATCCAAAGAGAGCTGTCACTCTTTGTCCCCACTACTGGTATCTATTGAAGTATTTGTCAGCATGAGGTGTGACGGTGTTCACAGGGGTTTTCAGATGAGGGAGGAGACGAGGATTTGACTCCATATTTCAGAAGGCTTGATTTATTATTTTATGATATATATTACATTTAAACTATACTAAAGGAATAGAAGAAAAGGTTTAATCTCAGAAGGCTAGCTAAGCTAAGACTAGAAAAGAATGAATAACAAAGGTTTGTGGCTCGGACAGAGAGAGAGTTAGCTGTGCTGTGATTGACCATTAATTAGAAACAATCACATGAGACCAATCAAAGATGCACCTGTTGCATTCCACAGCAGCAGATAACCATTATTTACATTTTGTCTTTGAGGCCTCACAGCTTCTCAGGAGGAAAAAAATCCCAAGGAAAGGGTTTTCATGAAAAGATGTCTGTGACAATGAGGTGATGAAATTACTTTTAAGAAAAGACAGCTGCAAAGGGAACCCAGAAGAGGCATGGGAAGTGACTCTCAGTTTGGACAGACCCTTGAGTTTTGCTGCCTGACCTCAAAGATTCCCCTTCTCTTTGGTGACAGAGTTAACTTTCCATCGCAGGAAGGGGATTTCTTTCTCCAACAGAAGATCAGCAGCTAACAGACTGCACACCTAGCTGAAGATCTGCCACTGCCTCTCCCCTCCTGAAAGAGAAATAAAGTGCTCCAGGGCTTGCTGGCATTCCCTTATCAGAGGACTTACGGTCTCAAGCTGGGTGCCACAGTCGCTCCAGCCCGCCTGCAGCACGACGTGGGTGCCATTGCTGGTGCTCACATTGCAGCCAGGCTCCCCCAGGAACAGGGAACTCTCTGGGATGGACTCCTGCTGCAGGAACCTCTTCTGGATGGCAAGGACAATCCTCTCAATCTCACAAAACACACTCACAGCATCTTTAATGGAAACCTCTTGGGTGGGTTTGACCAGGGGGGCTGGAGATGCTTGAGGAGAAACATCAGGAGATGCCATGGGATCCATGGTGAGAAGACTCAGCCCTGTGCTGGAGAACATGGGGTGCTCCAGAGCTTTGTGCTCAGCAGGAGAAAAGTCCAGTGAAACAAGGGAGGAAACATGAGCTGAAGTTTGCAGAGATGTCACAGGTAAAATTGTGCTGTTCACAGGTTTCTTATCTGTCACTGTTGCCTTCTGGCTGAAGGGAAGTGCTGAAGAGAGCCAAAAATAAAGGTACTGTTGTAATTTACATTGGTCTCATTAGGCAAAAGCAAACTCTTAGGAGGAAACTCACAGTTACTGGCAGGAAAGCAGTTTCTTTTGTTCTTTTAACCTGCTCTACTTACTGCCAAAGCTGGGGCTTTTTTTAGAAAGGAGCCCATGAGACACATAAAGTGCCTGTCCATCAGTAAAGCTGAAGTGCTTTATTTCCTGGCAGCTGCAATAATTAGCGTGTAACACATGTACATACAGCTTTTGGAAGATCAGTGCTTGCACAATATTCCCCACTGGAGGTTGCTCAGCAAGTGCTTGTATGTTTTTGCCTGGAGCTGTAGGAGACTGCCCAGTTCTAGCTGGGGGCTTCACCAGGAGTTTGATAAAAAAGCACAGGCCTCATTTGTGACCAAAATATGGGATCTTGAGTGCTTTGGAAAACTCATTTTGGGGGATGCATGGGACAAAGCTCATGTGGCAGCCCCATATTGCAGGTGTGTTCTGAGAGAGAGGAATAAATGTGTCAGTGGCAATCTGTAATGGTTCCAGGAAGAAAAAGGTGGGGAAAAAGGGAAGCACAGGTTCAGATCAATGTGTGTCAAACACCCAACATCCAACACAGGTCTGGAGTTACACCCTGAGTTACACCCTGAGTTCACCCACCACTGACTGACAGAGAATCAGGATAATAAACTCAATTTGTAGAAAAGCACAAACAATGTGCCTCATTGAACAAAACTTCTCTTAAATAATTTTAGTGGCTAAAACATAAAAATACCACCTATTTCCCAAGCAATATATAAAATCTGTACACATATATAAATCCTTATGGAACTGCCCAGATTCCAGAAATGCCCCAAATGAAGAAGTCAGTGATTTGCACAATAAAGGAAGGAAAATAAAAGTTGGAGCTCTTCCAGAGCTGGATTTCCCAAAAGCTTATAATCACATTAATATCTTAGATAAAACTGAACAAATGTTGGTATCAATTGACAAATCATAGTGACTTCAGTAAAAAATGTTCCTTATCATTGTGGTTACAAAACCAAATTTACAAATATAAATTACTGAAGAAGCCTAAGAGAATTTAGGAAATTAAAGACCCATCATACAGCAGCTAAGAAATTACCTGAGGAAAGAGAAGCTTGATGAATCAGCTTATAGAAAAATGTAGTTTGTAACATCAGCATTTCCTCTCTGCTGCCATACAGAGGTCAAGCCACCTATCAAGTATTTTCTGTTACTTTTTCTATTAACTCTTCTGTCCTCTCTGCTACTGCTAATCACTAAGAACCTTGACAACCCTGTCTAATTTTTGTGGTAAATATGAGAAACAGAACTGTTAAAAGAATCTTAGAGCATTAAATATTAATATAGTGCATTCCCACTTCTAAAGACGTCCACTGCCCAAGGGGATGCTTCTAACCCCAGGGGCCTCCTCAATTTTCCCCCCATTTCACAATTCTGAGGAGATGCTCAACAAATGTCCAGCATGAGTGAAGCATAAGGCTTGTGTGACTGGTCCAGGTTGTAATCTAGTTGCTGTCTTAATTTTTACCCAGCCAAAACATTCATTTTTGAGAGAAAAAAAATATGCTTTTACTTCTCTTTCTCTTTCCAAAGTCTAAAAACTGGAGCAAACCAGAGCACAGGTGGGACTCAGAAAGCAGAAGCAGCCACCTGCTCTATGGGGAGCTGTCCCTAAACAAACTCTTTGTTTTAGCCCAGGTTTGAGAGGGACAGGCATTCTACAAAGCACCACCACAAGAGAGTAGTGATCCTTCTTATTACCAGGATGTGTAACTTTCCAGATTTACAGCTGTGAGTGTAACAGGAAAAAAAAAAAAAGACCAAAAAAAAAAGGAGCAGAGCATAAATGTTTCTGAAGTAATTTTGCATGAGGTTCTAATTGACAGCTCATAATAAAGAACAAATGGATCATGTCAGGGATTCATTATTTGGGGTTTTTTTCAGAGGTGACTTGTGAAACAGATTTCAGCTGCTCTTAGTCAGGAGATTAATGTTTTTTGTTACTAGCTTCAATTCCATTTAAAAGAAAAGAAGTTGTATAATCAGCCATCATGCTGGGCTTGGCAAAGTGTGGGCTTTCACCTGAGCTCCAGACCAGACCCACAGGTGTGTGAGGAAAACAACTATTCCCTGTGAAGAAGAATTCACATATTCATTTATTTCTTGGGATTTCTATTTATTGGAAAAAATTTTAGTGCAAAGCAGAGCATAATGTGTTTTTAAATTATTTTAAACAGTGCTAGTTATGGCTGTGTTCAGGGACTCGTGGAAATAAGTAGCTTATAAACCCCTCAGTCCATGACCTCTATCATCTCCTTACTTTTTTCTCTTAAAACTGATTCTAGAAATTGTCACAAAGACCAGTTGGTTTTGTCCTTTTGGATCAGTGGTACCTTCCTTTGTCACCTGTGGGTGTTCTCTGAAAATCTTACTGGATGGATAAGCAGGAGCAATATAAGGAGAGGGAAAGGCTTTTCATCCATGTATTTTACAAGTATTTTCACCTCAGAAAACACAGATTAATAATAGATTTTGTCGTTTATCTGGCTATGAAGAATTACTGGGGCACAAGCTGCTCCTCACCGTGTGTGGAGAGGCTGCTCCTGTCCATGGTGAAGTAGGAGCTGTGTTCCAAGGCCTCACAAAAAGTGCTGATGACATGGTGGGCATCCACTTCTTCTGCAAGCAGCAAACTGAAACTTACCACTGTGCTCCCATTAGTAACACCAGTTACCAGCACTTGAATCAGACCAGCATCCATCTGCTGCAGCACCTCAAGGGGCAGAGATTTCTGCACCTGCAATAAAAACAAAATGTGTGTGGGGATGGGCAGATGGAACAATTACATTCCAGGCTGTGTACACTGCTCAGAAATGAGTGCTGTGCTTCCTGCTCTGGAGGGAAGCAGCAGAAAATTGACCTTTTGCTTTGTAACATTTTCAGTCCAGAGCAGCTGAAGGATGTGGTGCACATTTAACCATGAATATTAAACGAGCCAAGCAATTAATACATCTCATCTGGCATTTGGCACAAGCTCTGGCCTCTGGTAACAGAGAGGGAGGGAGGAGGCTGCAGGGGAGCTCCCACGTTCTGCATCTCCAAATGCCTCTGGGGAGAGGGGCAAGCTAAGAAATTCCAATCCAATCCAAGGAATCCAATCCAATCCAAGGAATCCAATCTAAGAAATCCAATCCAACCCAAGGAATTCCAATCCAATCCAAGGAATCCAATTCAAGGAATTCCTATCCACTCCAAGGAATTCCAATCTAATCCAAGGAATCCAATCCAAGAAATCCAATCCAACCCAAGGAATTCCAATCCAATCCAAGAAATCCAATCCAACCCAAGGAATTCCAATCCAATCCAAGGAATCCAATCCAATCTAAGGAATCCAATCCAATCCAAGGAATCCCAATCCAATCCAAGGAATCCAATCCAAGGAATCCCAATCCAATCCAAGGAATTCCAATCTAATCCAAGGAGTTCCAATCTAATCCAAGGAATCCAATCAATCCAAGGAATCCAATCCAATCCAAGGAATCCCAATCCAATCCAAGGAATCCAATCCAATCCAAGGAATTCCAATCCAATCCAAGGAGTTCCAATCTAATCCAAGGAATCCAATCAATCCAAGGAATCCAATCCAATCCAAGGAATTCCAATCCAATCCAATCCAATCCAGTCCAAGGAATCCAATCCAACCCAAGGAATTCCAATCAAATCCAAGAAATCCACTCCAATCCAAGGAATTCCAATCCAATCCAATCCAATCCAATCCAATCCAATCCAAGGAATCCAATCCAATCCAAGGAATTGCTGGTGGAAGTGAAGGTGCTCCTGACACTGCTCAGAGGGCTCTCTCAGCCCAGGAACATTACAACCTGGAGCAGGTGACCTTCAAGCTTTGCTTTCCAGCTAATTTCCCACTAGAGCCAAGCAGTACTCACCTCCTTCTAAATGCCCACACCAGAGTGTTAAGGGCCCAGGTGGGGGCTACACTGTGGCCACCTCCAAATGCTTCTTCCTCTCCCTGATTTCTGCAGGGAATACCTGGAGCAGCAGGGCTGGATTTCAGCCATGAGTTTAAGGCACAGTTTATTGCAGTGTGTGATTCTCAGGGATGCCAGCAGTGATTCCCACCAGGAAGAGCCCAGGGAAGAGGCAAGCACTGGGAGCCACCAGAAGCCTTGTTTGCCTTGCACCCACACTCAGAGCTGGTGCTTTTAGTGCTGGATTCTCACAGCTTTTGCACAGCCTTGTGCCCTGCCTGCTGTGCATTACCCAGCCCTGACTTCTCCCTGACTGTTTCCCAGCCCTGCAGACAGTCCCAGGATTTGCAGGTGTCCTGCAGCCCTTTCCTGAGTCCCCAGAGCTGGGTGCCAAGGCCACATGGCACAGAGCAAACCCCTGTGTGCCCCTGGGAACAGCTGCCTTGTGCCTGCAAGTCCCACACAGCAAACCTGGGAGAGCCTCCTGGAGCAGACCTGGGAGGATGGAGACACCTGGCTCCCCTCTGAACACCTGGGCAGAACATGAACTGTCCTTGTCAGACCCCAAACCTCCCCTTTCACCAAGAGGGGGCCTCTTGGGCTCCTTCTGCTCTCTCTTTCTGCTGTTTCACCAGCAGGTACCGAAAAGTTGGAGGTCAGACCTGAGTTTTCAGCTTTCAGAATTTTTGTCTGTACATCTCAACATTAAACACAGGCACCTGTGACATCCTCTTAGCCCACCCTGATTTCATCCTCTTTCCCTATCTGAAAATTTTATTTTATCAGTTCTTCTTTTCCACAGAATCACAGAATCACTGAGGTTGGAAAAGTCCTCTAAGATCATCAAGTCTGACCTGTGACCAATCCTCACCTTGTCCCCAGCCCAGAGCTCTGAGTGCCACCTCCAGGCCTTCCTTGGACAGCTCCAGGGATGGGCACTCCAAACCTCCCTGGGCAGCCCCCGACAAGGCCTGAGCACCTTTTCCATGGGGAAATTCCTCCTGATGTCCAACCTGAACCTCCCCTGCAGTACCCTGGAGCCAATTCCTCTTGTCCTGTATCTTGCTCCCTGTGACCAGAGCCCGACCCTCACCTACCTATAGATTTTGGGGGTTTTTTTTTTGTTTTGTTTCTGTCCTTGTTCCTATTTTTCCTCCCAAAGCAGGACCCAGAGCTTGAATAGTGTCAGAGCACATTCACAGTGTTTGCATTTAGCCACTAGGTGACACTACAAACCCCTTTATCCAAGAGACTCCGGGATTTCCCAACAGGTACCACACCCTGGGTTATCGAAACAACGCTTGATGAAACAGGGCTGGGGGGAAAAAAAAAAAAAAACAAACAACGGGATGGGGGTGTGGGAACGGAACTTTTTGGAATGAAATATTCAACATATAATACCCTTGGGTATGGGGAGTTCTTACAAGAGAAATTATCTTCAGGTCTGTCATTATATCTGCAATTTCTACAGCACACAAAGGAAATCTAAGCAGGGAATGCATGGACGGTGTGGAAACTGTGAATAAATAAGTAAAAGGTACAGTAATTAGAACAGAATATTGTTTGAAGACTGTTTTTTCACTCAGAGAGGAAAAAAGAAATAACCCTCCCCACTGTGTGAGGTTTGGGTGCACCTTCAGGGAGAAGGTACCAGAGCACATCTGCCCAGCCACCATCACCAGCAGCTTCCAGGATGTGGAGCTGGAGAAACTAAAATTAACAAAAGGGTGAAATTTCACTGGAATAGTGAAAATTCCTTAATCCCTGTTCCTACACTCATTCCACATTCATATATCTTCAACTACAATCATTTTAGGTGCATTCAGCTACACAAACACAGGCCATGTGCCTTCCACATGAGGGGGTCACTCATTAGATATTAACATTTATTAGTTTCACACCTTTTTTCACTCAGCTAAGTTTAAGACACCCAAATTCAGAACAAGATTTCCACTTGGGAATTTATTGCACCTCAGTGAATGTATTTTCAGTTCAAATCTTTTGCTTTCCCAACATTTTGTTGAGGACAAGCCATGAGGATATCATTCTTGGGGTGTTGTAAAACACAAGCTGAACAAACCCCAGGATTTAAATATTTTTTTTTGCCTTTAGCTATGTTGTTTTTAAGTGGCATTACAAGAAAGGTGGTGGAACTGGCCTGGACAATGACAGTGCAGGTTGTCACATCAAGATTTTACCTCCTTCTCATTATTTAAAGGATAATATTTCCATTTGCTGTTCTGCCAATTTAACCACATGGCACTCAAGTACTGGGGCTTAAAAACATTATACACATTAGGATTTATAAATCCTTTGAATTGTAGATTATGACTCCAAAGAGGTTAAAAAAAATGTCTGGCAAACTGTATTTAACTGGAACTTGAGAGTGCTTTTAAAGCTCATAAAACTTTCCTCATTTACTTTAAAAGATTCATTTCTCATCCTCATAACCTGAAAAGAAAATATAAGATCTTTCTGGTCTCTTAAATTTTCTTTGGCATCTAGAAATACAATATTTATAATATTATTTACAGCAGCTATGCAATTATAGCCCATTTACAGTGGCTCAGAGGTGGAAGGAATCAACACTAACACATCTCTCCAGCTGATCCACAAAACCAGAGAGCTGGGAAAAGGAGGGAGTTCCTTATAATCCCAAATGATCATTTCCTGCCTGAAAATTTGAGACCCAGGTAAAACTGACACAAAACTTCATTTTGTTCCTTTGCATGTAACCATTTGAAAATTTTTTGTTCTTTTACATGTAACCATTTTACAATTATTTTTATATTTTTTCCTTAATATATTATATAATAATATCTCATATATTTATTTTCCTAAATATATATATAATATATTTCCTAAATATTTTCTATTTTTCCAATATATAATATATAATATGTCATATATCATATGTCATATATCATATATCATATCATATGTAATATAATATATTTCCTAAATATATTATATTATATTATATTACATTACATTACATTACATTACATTACATTACATTACATTACATTACATTATATTCTATTATATTATATTATATTATATTATATTATATTATATTATATTATATTCCTGGACTAAGATATCTGACTGAATGAAGGGAATACATTAATTTCAGTCCATTTCAATACTGTGCTGTTCTGAAATAGCCTCGGGCAGAGCGTGGTGCTGAATGAGAGAGAGGTCAGTGGAGAATTGCTCCCTTTTCACTTTGCTAATCACATCACTCTCATTTTGTCACAGTTTTTCTGATGTGACAGCTTGGGGCCAAAACAGCTCCAGGAAAGCTGTGCTCTGCTAACACACCCAGGAAGGTGCAAACCAGTGGGAAGCTGATTTAATGTGCAAGAAGGATAAATGGATCCCCTCTTCCCTCCCTGCAGCTGTCTGTGACCCCAGGCTGGCCTGTGCCCCTGTGCCAGCTGTGTTCCAGTGTGACTCTGCCCCCAGTGAGTCTTGGGAGCCTTTGCAGGATTTGAAAATCCATCAAATAGCCAGTGATGGATTTATCACCACACTTATCAAAGCCTCTGAAAACACAGACAGCGAAGGTAAAGGAGGCAATCAAGCAGCCCAGCATAATCAGTGGATTGGATTTCCAGGCATGGGTGTGTTGGAGGGAGCACCAGAAGGAAGAAATTTCTGGCAAATTCACTGCAATATTAGATAGCAACACCCCAAAATGCTGAGAGGGTTAAAGTCACAACAGATATCATGTTGTGCTTTGATATCCTGCACTCTAATTACAAGTGAGGGCAGAGGTGACTTTTCAAGAAACCACTCCCTCTCTAGATATGGGGCTACAAAACCCAGGATGAGTACAAGAACTGTCAGCCTTGAGGTACTGCTGCAAAGGAAAATAACAATTATACAGCTAATTAGGATAGAGATGTTCAGGGCAAGGGTATCCGAGCACTTTACTGGTTCCATTACCTTTCCACCATACCCCTGGAGAAGATCAATAATTCAGTATACCTGGGTATGAGAAGGGGAGGACATGGAGGTACCAGAGAATCCCAAAATCCTGATCTTCCTCTAGAACACAGCTGCACACTTATCCTGCAGCCTCAGGCAGTCAGGGGAAGCCAAACCTTACAGGTGTGCCAAGGGGCACACATGAGTTATACAGGCTTTGGGGGGAAAAAGACAATACACAGGGTTTTATTGAGACAGGTAACAGGTCACATCCTTCTTCACCACTTACTTCAGCAACAAAGAGCTGTGCAAAGGTTTGATTTTCCTCACTGCTGTTATTGTTAAAGCCTGGAGAATATTCTGTGTTTGTTATCCGAACTGTGCCACTAAGTTTCTGGAAGGCTGCAAGGTAAGAAAAATATAACAAATATATTAATATATCATATAAATATATAAATTATAAATATAGAAATTATATAAATATAATATGTGCTTTGCTGGCTGCAGTCCATGGACAGGTGTGTCACAGGGTCCAGCATCCCTGGCCACAAGCATCAATTCACAGCAGCAGAAGGCCAGCCCTCTGAAATGTAGCCCAAACACCAAAAGTCTAAAAATAAATCGTCCAGCATCTTAGTCTGCCCTGCCTGAGCCCCAGATGGCTCTCAAGAAAGGCACTGACCTCCTGCAGGTCTCATATCTGCCAGCTCTGCCTTGGATCCTCAGCGATATCTGGAATTTTGCTCTATTCAGGCACTGGAATTGCTCTCCCAGGCTCAGCTGGGTGTCCCACCAGTCCCTCCAGAGGGAAACCATTGCAGCACCAAATCCGCCCTGCAGCCTCAGAGGAAGGCTGGGCTGCTGCCTGAGCTCGCACATCTACACTCTGGACAGCTGTGGTGGGATGAGATGAATCCCAACAGGGTGTACACTTCCCTCCTAGTTCACATCTGCTGGATGACATCAAGGCAGACTCAAACATTTTGAGTTTATTTCCTGATTTCTCTGTGTTTCCCAGTGTCTCTGGGCTTGGCATTGTTACTACAGACACCGAAGTGATCAGAGAGCGGAGAAAGGGCTTCTCAAGGCATGGTTTGAGCCCTGGCATGCATTTAGTGATGACTGCAATCATCCAGCGCTGACCATTGCCACCAAATTGCCTTCACGCTGCCCCCAGCTCCTAACAAATCATCACTCCTGACAACAACAAAACCTAATGTTTCAATGGTTTATATAAATACAGAATAGTCAAAATAGTCAAAACCTCAAGAACTTTATCATCTGGCTAAGGATTCAGTTTAAAATTCTGAATCAAGTTACCAATGGTTACTTTCTGGTGTAGCAACCTGCTTTCCTCCCTGCACACACCCAACTGCACCTCCACAGGGGATCAGGCACCAAGCTCCAGCTCGGAGCCTGCCTGACTCCTATATTCAGTTTTAATCTGCCATTTTAGCTGCTTTCTGTGAAACAGAAGGAATTATAAAGCTCTGCATAACATCTGTGGACCACTTCACACCCAATTCTACTCACACTGGGAAAATAACCACTTGAACTAGGACAGGTACGGGAGGAAAATAAATAGTAACCAGGTAAAGCTTTACAGGAGAGGGGAGAAATGCCTGCCTGAACCTCCTGAGCCCACTGGAGGAGGTTTCCTTCATCCCAGCATGATTCTGATCCCAAAGGAATCCTCACCACTGACAATTAGATCAAAGGATTTGAGTTTGCTTTTTGCCATGGCTTGTCCTGTCATGTGAACACAGGTAATTGGGGGATAAAACACTTCAGTTGTCTCAGGTGAGAGGGGAAAATGTTCTCAACAATTCTCAGAATATTATTATTCTTAAATAATAATAAAAAATATCCCTGGTATTTAAAAGACCGGACTATGAAGGGTTGGCTGAGGTTGAGCCTCCAGGTCAGAGATGATGCCACAAGGAGGAGCTGCATATGAAACTTCACCAAACATGGGCTTTTGCCCTCTGGATTTCCTACCCTAGGCTGGTGAGATGCCACTCTGGTGGCTCTTAGGCATAATCCCTCCACAAGCTTCTTTCCCAACAAAAGCACTTGGCTGAATATTTGGTTCACCAAGAATATAAAACAAGTTTTTATAAACTGAACTCTTTTCGAGTAGAATCCTTCTTTTTTTTTTCCCCCAACTGGGAACAGCCTATAAGTGGCTTTTTGTCAGTTAAAATTAGCTAATTTTATACTTAAAAAAAATCTTTGTTTTCATTTAAAAAACAAAACATCTTTTTTAGGTAGAGAGAAGACAGCAGCTGAGCAGGGCATTGGCACAGCTGCCCAAGGCAGGGCAGGATGACAGGAGGGGACACCTGATGAGTAGGGATGGGGGGACAAGAGAGGCTGGAGAAGCAGCATTGGGTGAAAAATGGCTGAAAAAGGCATTTTCCAGGGAGAAAGGAATGAGGGAGCACCAGAAGTGGGGCTAGATCAGTGGAGACCACCAGAAACATGAGATCACAGGGGAGGGGGAGATAAAAGAGCAGAGGAATGTGTGACTTGAGATCAGAGAGATGTGGAGGGCATGAGAGACAGAATAAAGACAAGCAGAAGCAAAACTGAAATAGCCAAACTGGATAGTGACACACTACAGAAAAAATATACATTTAGTGATGGGCAGAGACAGCAGTATTCCTACCCCAAACAAAACTGTAATTTTAACACCAAATCTGACTCTCTGAAATATGATTCAGCTCCAGTCAACAGAAAAATCCCGTAATTAAGTGCAATACATCTGCCCAAACCCAAACAGATGAAACCTTCAGCAGCCTTGTTGCTCTCAATTGCATCTCTTGGAGCAAAGTCTCTCGGGTTTCCAGGCAGCTCCTGCCTCACAGGGGATTTGTGGAGGACTCTGACTAATCATCCTCTGCTGAGAGCAATGGGAAGGCAGGTCCTTTTCCTCCCTGGCTCCCTAAATTAACTCCTCACACAGCTGCTGCTGCTGTGTCCTGGTGCCAGAGGCTGCAGGAAAAACCAGGATTTGTGGCAAAAGGACAAGTAGTAAACGTTGCCATGAGCCACATTTCAGTGCACTCTTTTATTGTGCTTCCTCCTCTTGGGGTGAAGAAATGTAACATCAATAAAAGCAACTGCTAAATTGCCAGGAAGAGGAATTGCTTTCACAAGCTGATTTAGCAAAGAGAAAGTGCCAATTCCTGCAGAAAATATTATTGACATAGAAAAACATTGCAGGCACCAAGACAATAACTTTGACATTGAAAAGATAGTTTTAGATGCCTTTTTCTGAACTCTGAGTGAGACTTGCTTCTCCCTCAGGTGAACTCCCATACGTGCAGACCCCATGGGATGTGTACTCACTGCAGGCTGGGCTGGGGGCTGGAGAGGTGCCTGGCTAAGCTGGTGTCCCCAAGGCTCCAGAGTGTCCCTCAGACCAAGAGCTGTTCTCCCTTCCCACCTCTCCATCTGCTCTGGGGGTGGCAATGCCAATGTTCCTGGCCAGCAGAGCTGTGTGGGGGCACCTGGAGAGCTGCCCTGGGGCACTGTGTGAGTGCTGGTGGCAGCTGAGGCTCTTTGAGTTGGAAACAGTTCAAGTGAGCCGAGCTGCTCATGCCTGGCTGTGCCCACAGCTGTGCTTGGGAGAGCAGCCCTGGCCATGGAGCTTTGCTGCAATGGGCTCCTGGCCTCTGTCCCCATGGGCAGTGCCCTGCTGACAGCGACACTCATGGCCACAGGGCTGCTGTCCCTGCTCAAAGCCATCTGTGGGGACAGAGCTGTTTGCCAAGGAGCGCTGGTGGGACTGTGGGACACTTGTTTGTCACCCAGGGCCAGCGCAGCAGGGAGGAGTGTGGTGGCACCTGATGCGGGGCCTGCAGCAGCCGCTGTCCCCATGGCAAGTGCCCTGCTGACAGTGACACCCATGGCCACAAGGCTGCTGGTCCTGCTGGAAGCCATCTGTGGGGCCAGACCTTTTTGCCAAGGGGTTGGAGGAGCACTGCTGGGATTGTGGGACACTGTTTTGTCACTCAAGGCCAGAGCAGCAGGGAAGAATGTGGTGGCGCCAGACGCGGGGCCTGCAGCAGCCGCTGTCCCCATGGTGGCAGTGGGAGCAGGGCCTGCAGGGCTTCTACCTTCCTCAGGAGCCAAGTCCATGCTGGTTTTTATTTCAGGAGCCACGGTTTCGGTGAGAGGATCCACAATCTCACCTGCAACACAGAAAACACACCCTGAAATGGGACCTCAAACTGGAGGAGGAGGCACCAGGGCCTGGCCTGAAAATGGCACCAAGGGTACTCAACCACCCATGGCAGCATTAGAAAACCATTAGGTTTTCTAATTAGAAAAGCATTAGGTATTGGATGGTCATGAACAGTGTAGAACCTGGGATTTTTCTAGGGTTGAATCTGGTTTGGGCTGATACAAAGAAGCAGATTTGATTCCTGAGTCTCCTGTTCTAGTTGGCAAGGCTGTGGATCAACTTGGTGGGAGGAAATTAGCCACAGACATAGCAAAAGAGGGAAAAGTACTCCTTGCAGTTATCAGGCTTATCAAGGAGGATCTCAGAGAGATTTCACCTGAATTTGTTTATTTATTTATTTATTTATTTATTTATTTATTTAAAGAATAATTTTATACACACACACACACGCACACGCACACACATATATATATAGTTAGAGACAGGTCATATATACCCCTTCAGCCACAGACTGCAAAAGTGCAATTATATAAACAGATACTCTAAAAGCAGATGTAAGACCCCACAACTTATTTCAATGTTTCATGGCAAAAAAGACCCCTACATGCCAGCCTTTTTCTCACCCTCACAGTTCCTTCCAGGTCGGGATGGGTTGGTATCCATGGTTGTCTTGCACCTGCACATGTAGGAGCCCATCAAATTGATGCACTCTGCTAACACTGAGCAGTCATTCTCAGCTTGGGAAGCACATTCATCCCAGTCTGTGGGACCAAAACAAGAGCAAAATTCAGAGAGCATCCCTGCTGGCTGCATTAGGCTAGAAATAGTCATTAAGTAGTCCTTTTTAAATTTACTTATATGGTTTTCCTTTTTCATCATTTACCTGTCAGCCAAGCTTTGAGTGATGCAGAACACTAACTGTTTTGTTATTCTCTTGCTCTTGTACTCTGAAAAGTATTTTCTCTGAGTAAAGACTTTTAAAATCATTGCTTTTAGAGATAAACACATTTAAAGTGAAAAAAAATGCTGTAGATTTGTACTACAATTATGTCAAAATCACTCACTATGCCAAGTTCTGTGTACAGCATCTCCAGATATATGAGGTAATGAATAGATCTGTTACCACTAGTTACCAGTAGATACAACATTAAATAGAGACTTAATCCAAATAATCTTCTGCTTCACATAAAAAGTAAATGCCAGTAACTCCCAGGGGAAGCACTGTTCTGTTCTTAACAGAAGAAGTGCTAAGGGCAAAATATCTTCTTATACAATTTTTCTTCTCAAAAATAATGCTGTAAAACCATGACCCTCTTTCTGGTAGTGTCAGAAAAGACATCCTGATTCATCAATGCATGAAGATGCTCTAAGGGTGTTCCTAATGTCTGATTTCAGCTGCTCTGTATCAGTTAGAGGGGCCTTTTCATGCAGTTATAGACCTATTTTATTGCTGAGTCTCTTCTCTTTTGAGGGATTTATATCTGGAGGCTTGTGTTGCCATTCACACCCTGTTCCAGCAAATCTGCAAGGGTTGAGTTAGTCCTTTGGACAGGAATAATTCCAGTGAATCCCAGGTGAGCCCTCCCTGTCTGACAGCCTTATGCACTCACCTTCTGCCTCAGGGCCCTGAAAGAGGGAGAGCAGCAAATGAGGCTAAAAACTGTGTCTTGGGGCAAATAATTCTGATCACAGGCTAGAAAATTGTTCTGAATAACAAATTAACAGAAGTGCTTGTTCTGCAGATAAACAAGCAGATAAACTCTGCTTGTAAACTTGCAGATTAATGATGGTGATTATTTCTCTGAAACAAAGGAATATCCCACTCCATGTGCATGCACATACACACACTCATCATTCTGCTTGCTTTTCCTTCCTTCTAGCTAATATTTCAATTCTTTTCACTTTTTTGTCATTGGGTAATTGCTGTATCCATGATAGTCTCCATTAGAAAATGTCATGTGCCTATGGCCAGCAGTTGCCTATTATTCCAGCCTAAACCACTTAGGGGGAATGCAGGAAGGTGCAGGATTGACTGAACACCGGAGATGAAATCTCATTAATTCCTAACTGTGCTATGAAATAATTGTGACCCTTGGTGGCTTCCAACACCATCTGAGAGATGCTAATTGCCAAATCACTTACGTTCACTGCCTCCATTGTCTCTGAGGGTTTCCTTTTTCTGCACTTAGCACGGCTTTTTAAGCAAATTCCTTCACCCCTGATGGCCACATTCAATCATGCATCGAGTCAAAACGCTGGCATTGACTGGTGCATCACTTGTGCACATCCACACACACACACTGCACTTTTTTCCTCTCCAAACCATCACATCTCAGCTAAAATCTGCTCTGAACTCTCTTTCTGCACTCTTGGCACCTCTCTGGTCCTTCACATTTGGCACTTCCCTACACACAGCTCAACCAACGATCCTAGTCCAAAATTTATCAAAATGCCATCTTTGTGTTCACTCTGATTACCTATTATACACATATAAAGGGTACATGCAAAGACTAAAATCTGTGAAATTCCTGGCCAAATGATGTTGCAGATGCTGAAGATTTATCTGATTTGATGGGGGAGATTCATGGGGGATAAACAAACCCAAAGAAAGCCCTCTGGATTCAGGGAATCCTGGAGCTGAAAACAGTTTTTGGCTAAGGGATACTTTGTGGGAGGTGATGCCTTCTCCAGGAATTGGCTCCTGGGTGGGACATTGTGCTGGAAGGATCTTGGGCCTGACTCAGCACACATCCCTTTCTCTTCTCTCACCATGCCCCACAAAACAGATTTTATTGTCTTTATTCATCATGGCAATAAACTTAATAATTAATGCATCTTCAAAGAGATCTGGTCCACTCCCTTCAGTTGTGCTGTCCCTCCTGACTGCTCATCCCTGCTTTTCACAGCTGAATGGACTGTCACTAAAGCAAGCACAAAGCCAGGTGTGGCCAGGCTGCAGGGAGGATCCAGGGGACAGGATTTGGGTGGGCTGATTGCCAGAGGTCATGTCCTGGGGCTCTCCAGGGTCAGGAAGGAAAACACCCCATTATACAAATCCTTCCTTCCTGTGTTTCACTCCTTATTTTCCACTTAGGAACTTCACGTTGAAGAAACTCTTCTTTGGGTAGAGCTATGAAATAAACCCCTTTTCTCAGCCTCTGAGGAGGAGTGAAGGTGTTGGCTGTGCCCCTGGATGAGTGTGGTGCTGCTGGAAGCCACCTGCTTTTCTGCAGCTGAAGTGACAGTCCAGAGCCATCACCTTCTTCTTCCTCAGCCTTTTGGTCCCAGGATCAATAACATTTACAAAGTATTTTGGCACACATCAGCCTCTTGCAATTCAGCTGCCACTGTGATATTTGCAGGCTTCAAGTGCAATTTGTCTCCTGGCTTTTTCCTGTCCTGTTCTCCTTAACCTGCATGAGCTCTGCAACTCCAAAGGGAGTTTTTCCTGCTCAGAAAGGCTCAACACAGCAAGAGAGAAGAATAACCCATTCTGTTGGCTTTGGCAACTTTCTGAACTCTGCTGTCTCTGCCAGCTGGGAAACCTGAGGACAGAACTCAGTTCTTTGAAGATAAAAGTGGTGATTACTGAAGATCAAACAAAGGCCTAGCTTAACATAAATTCCATGCATGTTTCTTCAGTCCTATTCATAGTAAGGACATTTGGGAATTCCTCTGGCTGGGTTTCTAGAGGGAAGATGTCAGATTTCTTAAACTTTGCCCCCCAGTCTTGGAGCACAAAACTGTCTAGAGGGTGTGTGGATCTACAGGCTGCAGATATTCCACAGTAATCCTGTCTGCCTTTCAGCTTGAGAAAGATATGGCAAAATTCCTGCTGGGGACAAAGAGGAGAGGGAGGAAAATGAAGAGGGAAACCAAGGGCTCCACTTGGGTTAACCACAGTGAGGAGTAGCAGTGCCGCAGGTACCTGGGGACAGCCAGTGCTCCTTTGTCTGTCCCTCCTGGGCTTTTGAATAAAACTCCATGAAGAATTCTCACATCATGGCTTTCTCTTCAACAAACCACATCCTTTGTTTTTCTATTTTGTGAAAATTATTGGTGATACTGCACATGATCAAAAAAAAAAATGCTTTCTTCTTGCAAAAAAAACCCCAAAAATTACCTTCTACTGCAGTGTTTTGCTGATCCACCTCTAGCACAGAGCCATTGTGCAGGTAGGAAAGCACTGGGGCAAATGTGGAGGCATCCACTGGAAACTCGGGATCCTGCATGGTGATTCTGAGCCTCACAATGATGCTTCCTGCTGCCAGGGATTCAATCTGCACTTTCAGCTTCCCAGATGTGTACAAGGCAGAAATGTTGGGTGGGAATGACTTTTCAAGCTGAGCAAAGGGAGAGAAGCATTGACAATTAGGGAGCCAACAGGTACCTCTTTAAATATTTATAGAAGCACAACAGAGAAGATGCTGGAAAAAGTTCCAGAGTGTTTCAGAAATCTTATTTTTCAGAGATTATTTTGGCATGAAGTGCAACCCTGCTGAGAAGGACTTGAGTGTGGATGAGAGGCTGGGCATGCCCTGGCTGTGTGCACTGGGAAACCCTCTGTGTGCTGGGCTTCACCAAAATCAGCGTGAGCAGCAGGAGAGAGGAGAATTCTGCCCCTCTGCCCCTTTCAGGTGAGACCCCACCTGCAGAGCTGCATAGGAGCAGCTGGAGCCCAGCACAAGAAGGACAAGGAGCTGCTGGAGCCAGTCCAGAGGAGGCAGCAGGATCAGAGCAGCTCTGCTGTCAGGAAATGCTGAGAGAATTGGGATTGTTCAGCCTGCAAAGCAGAAGGCTCTGGGGAGACTTAATTGTGACCTTCCAGTACTTTAAGGAAACTTACTGGAAAGATGAGGCAAGAGAATTTACAAGGGCCTGGAGTGACAGGACAAGGGGGAACAACTTCAAACTGACAGAGGTTAGGGGTTACATTAGATATTAGGAAAAACTTCTTTACTCTGAGGATGGTGAGGCCCTGGCACAGGTTGCCCAGAGAAGCTATGGATGCCCCATCACTGAAAGTGTCCAAGGCCAGGTTAGACAGGGTTCTGAGCAGCGTGGTCTGGTGAAAGATGTCTCTGCCTATGGCAGGGGTTTGGGGCTGGATGATCTTCAAGGCCTCTTCCAACCCAAACCATTCAGTGATTATATAATTCTACAATACCTTTGAAAACTGCATCCATCTGACCACTGGTCTTACAAACCAAGCTCCAAATTTTGGCTCCAAGGGAGCAGAATTCCCCCTGGCCCCTTTTGCTTGCAGCAGAGCTGAACTGTCCTGGTAAATGCATGCAGCAGAGTCTTGATGTTATCTCTGTATGTCACACATACATTTTATTTCATTTACAAGTGTGGCCATGGCTTTAGTTCCCAGGGAGCATTTGAAACTCACCAGTTCAAGTTCAGCCTGCAGCCCAGTCCAATAACAAAAAAACCTCAGGATGACAGACAAGGAAAAATGGGGGTGGATAACTTCAAAAAAAGTGTTTGAGACAGCCCAGCTTCAAGGCAGCATCACAATCACATCATGGTTAATTACTAAACCAGCTGAACAAATGGCACTACTTGTGACCGTGTTCACAGGGGTCCCAGGATGAGGCAAGAGACGAGGATCTGACTCCATGTTTCAGAAGGCTGATTTATTATTTTATGATATATATTATATTAAAACTATACTAAAAGAATAGAAGAAAGGGTTTCATCAGAAGGCTGGCTAAGAATAGAATAGAAAGAATGATAACAAAGGCTCTGTCTCGGACAGAGAGTCTGAGTCAGCTGACTGTGATTGGCCATTAATTAGAAACAACCACATGAGACCAATCACAGATGCACCTGTTGCATTCCACAGCAGCAGACAATCATTGTTTACATTTTATTCCTGAGGCCTGTCAGCTTCTCAGGAGAAAAAATCCTAAGGAAAAGATTTTTCAGAAAATATCATGGCTACAATTACTCTGAACACTGAAGCTGGCACACTGCTGTCAGTACTTGAGCTGTGCAGGAGCTGGCAGTTTCACCTTACATATCTAGAAGGCAGCTCCTTGCTTGAGCCTTTTGTTGCTGCATATACCTCAAAGCGTGTCTTTGAGCAGGAATCCAGAGCCATAAATCAGCACAGCTTTGCTCCCATTCAGTCAGAGCTTGCTCAAAAAGATCCCTACAAACAAAATGTGCAGCTGGTCTAAGCTCACATCAGGGTAGAGCAGCAAGAAAATAAGGAAAGAAGAAATGAGAGGGCTCACAAACACCCAAGGAGGCAGAAGAAACACAGATGGGCAATGCTCCTTTTGCTTCTCATCCTGATGAAGCCAATCAGGTCTGCATTAATCCCAGAGAAGACTCAGTTACCAAAATCTCCCTACACAACAGAAATGAGCAATTTGCAACTGTGGGAAATAAAGCCATGTGAGGAGGTTCAACTTGCAATTTCTGTTGGGCAAATGTTTCTCCTCTGCTGCCCTTGAATGTATAGCTCCATTATTGTTTTGGGTTTTTCTCTTGCATTTAAATTCACACATGATTACAATTCTCCCTTTGTTTCGGGGAAGCCTTGTGTTGGGTGGAGATCCCAATTCCTCCGTATGGGCCCTGTTCTGTGCAGCAAAACTGTAGGAAATGTGCTCCATCTGAAACCTCCCCCTTTATTGGGAAGCTCAGAGCTGCCACCAGACTTCATGACTCAGGTTTTGTTTCTGGCTGATTACACCTGACTGCGGACAGTGGCCACATGTGTGAAGGCAAGGAGAGGAAAGCCTGATCCAGATACTTTCCCTGAAAGAAGAAAGTCAGCAGGCAGAGAACTATTTATTTGAGAGGAGGAAGACATTTATTGAGCAGACTGTGCTGAAATGAATGCCAGGAATGCCATTTCAATAATCCATTTAAAAGCCTCAAGTTAATTTACTGTGAGTTTATTGCCAAATTAAAGATCCAAGGAAAGGAGCCCCTGATGCATGTCTGCATTTATAATTCCTCCACTCTTCTGCAGAGGATAATTCTCACTGGCTTCATTGCTAATAAGGCCAAGGGCTTGATCTGTCTAGTCAGTTGAATTTTGTTGCAATTATAAAGAAAGGTCACAGGAAATTGTATGCTGATTTTTGAAGGACTATTTCATCCAGGCATAAAATCCTCTATTAGATTAAATAAACTGTACATTAAAAAAAATATGTATATTACATAGAGATATAGTCATTTTACCTCTGTAAGCAAAATCCTTGAAAATTCCTCATATGCTGAGCTGCTGGAATTATGGAAATCATCAGTGAAGTTGTAGTTGAGAATCCTCATAGTAACATCAAATAGCTTGGCCTCTGTAAAACACAACATTAAAACACACTGAAAAAATAGGAAAGGGTTTAGTTAAAAATTATGTACCTGGACCAAAATCTCAGCTGATGGAAGAAAGGAGGACAGGATTGAGAGATTTTGGCATTAAATAAAAAAATTAAGGCAAATAGGCTCCTACAAGCTTCTGATACATTGAGAAGATGCATTTATATCAGGTCTAAAGAGATACTTTGGTGCCTAATTGCAACTGCATGAGAGCTGGGTGTACACATACTTTTTGTGTGGGTTTACACATACCTGGCCTGGCCCTACATAACTCCTGCCTTGAAGTTGTACCCAGGGTTGAATTGTCTGTGGGCTCATCTCTGGCCCACCAGTTTTTATTTATCCATTTTCCTGATCTTGGTAGTGGGGATAATAAATATATTCTTAAACTGAAAATACAACAGAAAGCTGTGCATGTCCCTTGTGTGTATGGTGAGCCCTGACAGATACTGTGCAGAGCACAGGAGCCAAAACCAAGAGCCAAGAAATCTCTAACTGCTCTGTCCTGTATAAACACTCCCAGGCTGTTACTCCTTGGACTGATCCTTGGAAAAATTTTCTTTTTCTCAAAGGCTCCAACTTCATACTCTGAAGTTCAGCTCTCTGTTTTCATAACCACTAGACCTCCTACTTTCCCTCCACAAAGAGAGTAATTTCCTTCTGACCCAAACTGGAGTCATCCCTCATCTCATCAAAGGGAATGCTCTCAGGGATAAACATGAACAGCAGCATTCCCACTGTGGTCAGTAATAAAGAGTTCACTGCCTGCTCTTTGAAAAAGAGGGGAGAGATTTATTTCTTTATTTGCATGGAGGCTGAGGAAATAATTTAAGACTAGAGAAAAAGCAAAATTATGTTTGATCAACACATTAGGGCCTCAGGAAGCTCCCACCACCAGTTAATTGAACAGAACTGGGCAGGTAGTCTGCAGTGTTCTTACTCAGAGCTTGTAATTCTCTTTAATCCTTTATTCAGCACAATCTGCCCTTCCTCTGGGCACTCTTGTTAGCTCAGCTGAGCCCTTGACAAACCAGTTACATGGATTTCCCTCTGGCCACAGCCATCAACCAAGGAAAAACAAGGCCTGCTGGGAGATGGGTGGCAGCAGAAAGCAAAACCAGGCACCAAAGAAATAAATTTTTAAAAAGAATTATAGCTAGCTTAGCCTGATATCTGTAATAGTCTAATCAGCTTCAGCACTACTTTATCAAATAAGGCCAAAGTTCTCCTGCCTGATATTCTGGATTGGATAAATGCTGGAGTAGATGAGATAAAAAGTGCTGAAGAAGTTGTTCAGTGAGGACCAAAGGGTCATTGCTGAACTGCAAGTGAGTGGGGATGGAAGGAGGAAAATGGAGAAGACAGAGATATACTATTATATAACAAGAAATATATAATATATAATAATATATATTATATATAATCTTCTAATATATATAATATATAATACTACAATATATAATATATATTATAAAAATATACTATAATATAATATAGTATAATATAGTATAATATAATATAATATGCTATAATATCATATCATATCATATACTATAATATAATATAATGTAATATAACATAATATAACATAATATAATATAATATAATATAATATAATATAATACATATTTTATATATATATGTATTTAAAAGTGTTTCTTTACCTGTTTTAACATTTTGATGGGAGATAATGGTTTTCCTACAAGTTTCATAGCTGATCTCTACTGAATACATCACACCTGCTTCCAGGTGAGACACATCCACCTGCCTTTCCTCAGTCCTCAGGCTTTGCACAGTGTCATTGCCCTTGGCCACCCGGACATGGAAAGTGTGGTTCAGAGTGGAACTGACAAGCCAGGACATTTCAAAGCTGCTGCTGGTAATGCTGAGGATCTGATGGTTTGTAACTGCAGAGGGATCTGTTGCAGGAGTTGGCACAGAAAAAGCAACATTTCACTTCTGTGCTGTTCTAAATCCACTACAGACAAGCACTTTGACAGTCAATAGGGTCAGGACAGAATCTGCCCCTCTCACACCAGCAGATCCCCTCATTCCATGAACCATCCCACTAGAGTGACTGATTTAGTGTTTAACCATTTTATTTCCTTTTACTATAAGAATTTCTGTTGCTGTGATTTCTGTTGCATCATAGTGTCACAGAACAGTCTGGCCTGGAAAGAACCTTGAAGATCATCCAGTGTCACACCCTGCCATGGGCAGGGACACCTTCCACTAGACCAGGCTGCTCAGAGCCCTGTCCAACCTGGCCCTGAACACCTCCAGGGATGAGGCAGCCCCAATCCCTCTGCACAACTTCATCTCCTCCAAATCTCCAGTCACAGAAATAATCACCCAGTCAGCACCAGGAACAAGTTTGGAAGAGTGACTCTGGGTACTCTACATGTGCTGACACCTGCTTTGCCTCCTGTCACTTTAATCATCAAATTGCCCCCATTCAGGCAAAGGTTGCCTGGATTTATCCTGGAAACTCCCCCAGACCCAGCTAACAGAGGCTGGGGGAGAGTGGCGTGCAGCACTTCACCTGTCATTGCACTCCAGTGCAGGGCAATCACTGTCATGTCAGTGGGAAAAGATAGGGCCCTTCAGAGATCATTCCTGTCCTGGGAGGAGGAGGAGGAGGAGGTGTTTAAGTGGGTAGGATGAGTTGCCCTGCAGCAGAGTCAGTCTGTCTGGCTTGAGAAAGAGAGCCCAGACAAGACACCTCTGCTGGAGAGAGCAGGAGGGATGAGCATCACACCCCACACTAACCCAGAGACCACGGCACGCTGCTGCACAGCTTCAGGCCTTTCATGCTCATGGTTAGACTAAGGAGAAAAGCTTGTTTTCATGCATTCATAAATTCTTTTCATCAATAGAACACAATTTTTTCCAGCACTCTGAGCCAGGTGGCTGCCAAACACCCCCAAAGCCACTCCCCCCTGTGCTAGAGGGGCCTCAGTTTAATTCCTCTGGCTTCAGCTTCAATCAGAAGTTGTGGATGAAGATCAAAAATACCCAGCTTGTCTCTCTGAACTCTCAAACAACTTAAATCTATTTCCTCCCACAGAAGAACAGGGTTTGTTAAGAGGAGTGTAATAACTCTTGCCTGAAAGGGCCGGATCACCCATATAAACACAAATCTACCGAGGTTTGTTCCCATCACAAATCAAGAACACATTTATTAAAATCCAAGTTACTTACAGCACTCAGCATCTGTAGATTGGTTGGTTATGGACAAGAGACTTGATTTCCTCACAGAAGGAGAGCTACTGCCAGTGCTAACAGCATTTACTGAACTTGGAGTAGATGTACAATGCCTAGGGGAAAATCAGATTATCAGAGTTAGAGTATTCCTAAGAAAACAAATCCAAAAATAATACCATTCAGGTTTTCCACATGAAAAGCAGCAATAGAAGTAATATAAATAAAAAATAAAAGTGCTATCATATCACAAAAGCATAAAGTAACACATAATCTTAATTTTTGAGATTAAGGGATTGTAAAATTGTTTTCTAATTAAAGCATTGAATCTGCAAGCAATTATTCATCTCATTATCTTAAAGCCTATTAGCAGGCCTATTGATGTCTGTGGGCTGTAAGTGTATTTTGCTGAACTGGTACCACAAGGAATTATTTCAGCCAGTGCCAAACTCCAGCTGCTTGCAGCAGAGAGTTCAGCAGTAGTGCAGGAGCTCAGGGTGGGATCACACAACCACTGCAGTCGAAATAGGAACAAAGAAAATGGTAGAAATAATGCAAACAATTGTTTCTCAAGAGGCGGGATGTAGCCATGATATTTTCTGAAAAATCCTTTTGCTAGGATTTTTCTCCTGAGAAGCTGACAGGCCTCAGGAACAAAATGTAAACAATGGTTATCTGCTGCTGTGGAATGCAACAGGTGCATCTGTGATTGGTCTCATGTGGTTGTTTCTAATTAACGGCCAATCACAGTCAGCTGGCTCGGACTCTCTGAGAGTCAAGAGCTTTTGTTATTATTCCATTCTTTCCTTTCAAGCCTTCTGATGAAATCCTTTCTTCTATTCTTTTAGTATAGTTTTAATGTATCATTTTATATTAATATAATAGATATCATAAAGTTTTACTCTATCATTTTCTTTTAATATAATATATATCAAAAAATAATAACTCAGCCTTCTGAAACATGGAGTCAAGATTCTCATCTCTTCCCTCGTCCAGGGACCCCTGTGAACACCACCACAGCTGGGGAGGTGCCCTGACAACAAGTGTGCTCTGAGAAGCAGGAGGGTCTGAAGTTTTAGGTTTTGGCAGATGAGTAAGGACAGCTGAGGGTGAAATAGAAGAAACACAAAAGACTGTGAAATGAATACTCTGCATTTCCATCAGAAATAGGTAACAGGTGTATGTGGCATTTTCTCCCAACAGGAGGAGAAGGGGCACTCATGCACCAGAAATTCCTGCAGGTGACTCCTGCAAAAGAGCACAAAGTCCTGCAGGAACATCCCCAGCATTCCCAGGGTGATTCCTACACTTCTTACCTTCCTTCCTTGGGCTCAGCCAGTGAGGGGTGACAGTGGCATGTCCGTGCTGGGGGTGGCAGCTGTAATAGCCCTCCAGGTTCACCCAGTTGCTTTTCTCAGGGCAAGCATTGAATTCAGCATAGGAGCATTCATTGACATCTAGGAAGAACAACACACCTTGCACAGACACTGGGAGCAGCATCAAGATTCATCTGCACTGTGTGTAGACCAGGCTCTAGCTATGATAAATTCAGTGTAAATCTGCAGTAATGCTAATGTTAAATTAATTTAACATTAATGCTAATGTTAAAGCCATTCTGGATGTTACCACCCTATCACTTTTTACCCCAATTCTTTGGAATTAGAGGACAATTAGGGGCAGCTCCTGCTTACACCTGTAGGACGCCCTCCAAACCTGAGATGTCAGCACAGGAGGAAGGAGGACTACTCAGTGATTTCACTGAAAGCTGGACTGAGCAAACACAGAATACGAAGAATGCATTTTAGGAGTGAAATATTCTGACAACGGCAGAGCAATAAGTAGCTTGACATAATTTAAAATTAATATATTGAAATGTTTATGTAACATTTAAAAAGTATGTAGCAATATGCTATAGTAATTAATAGACTACAAATATGACTTGTTTCATACAAGCTACTGGAAGTAATATATTTGCTTCCCAAGAAAACAGGTTTTTTAAGAGCCTGTTTAATACAACTAATGATTGTGCTACAAATAGGCACATATTTGCTTTTCCTATGTTACTGGGAGAAAATAAATTTGAGGTTTCAGAGACATTCCCTTCCAAACTATTCACTCTAAAATAATAATTAATTCTCCATCCTATAGCAGAAAGGTCAGGGCCATGTTTGCAAAGTTTGCAAGATCCTCTGTGCTATCTTGTGTATATCTCTGTGCTATTTGAAAGTAAATTAACGGTTATATAAATGAGATCCCAAGTGAAGAGGGACAAAGCCCCTAAATGTGACAGGATTAGAGTCAGTGACCTTGCACTTGTGTGTCAATCACTTCATACACGCGCTTCACCATGGCCTTCAGGGAGGAGGAGACCTCTGCCAGAGGAGCTGGATGCTGCAGGCCCAGGAGAAGCTGGGAGGCCACTGTCCCAGCGTAGATGTCCCCATGGTTACTCTGGATGTGGTGCACAGAGGCATTCAGGGGCTGCAGTGCACCAGTGATCTGGAAAACAGGGCAGCAAACACTGGAGCACCTTGGTCATCTCCCAGCACATGAATTATGCAGTGGTTATTATCATAATCTGAGTGTAGGAAGAAATTCAGAAACCATGGCAAAGTGGTTTAGCCCTGTGTTTATGAAAGGTGAGTTCTTATTTTCACATTTCACAGCAGATTTATGTTACAGAAATGCCAGGCTCAGGGGGGTGTGGAGCTGATCTCAAAATGCTTTTCAGAAGGAGTGTCCTGGGTTGTAAAATGTGTGTGTTCCATTCCCATCTGTCAGAGCTGGGGCAGTTCTCTGCTGTTCCTGGGGCAGTTTTTCCTTTCTCTCTCCCACAGCCAACCCTCCCTCCAGGAGATCTCTGCTGTCCATGGCCACTGAGTGTCCCTGCAGGGCTGATCCAATTCCAGCATCCCATGGGGAGATGCTCCGCCCAGGGGAGGAGCCAAGCATTCCTACCTGGATCCAATCTGGGCCTGGCACAGCACAGCAGCCTTTGCCCCCTGCATTGCCAGAGGAGCAGCTTTCTGCTGCCCTGCATGGCCAGAGGGAGCCCAGGCCCATCTGCAGCAGCCCTGGAGCTGCAGAGGAAAACTCCCCCCTTGTGCAGGATCCCTGCTGCAGCAGAGCCACAGCTGGCACTGCAGGAGGGCTGAGCCCCCATGGGATGGGGCTGGGACACCGCCCTGACACACAGGGGACAGGGCATGGTCTGACTCTGGCAGTGTTGTTTTCTGTTACTACATTTTAATTTCATTTTTATTTTTTCCCTTATAAATAACTGTTATTCCTACTCCCATATCTTTGCCTGATAACCTCTTAATTTCAAAATCATAGTAATTTGGAGGAAGGGGGTTTACATTTTTCCATTTCAGGGGAGGCTCCTGCCTTCCTTAGGAGACACCTGGCTTTTCAATCCAAGACAAGGAGTAACCCAGGAAGAGGTAGGAAAAGTCCTGCTTTGCAAAGTCTCAATGGATTACAATAAATTACACAGGCCACTGCAATTCACCTGCAATAAAGCTGCCCAACACTTCTTATTTTGAACAGCTAAATGGACTGCTGGCAAAGGGAATAGGAAGAAAAAGAAGAAAAGCAATGGACTCAGGATGAGGGGTGGGATTAAGAGGCACAGAGAGACCACAGAGAGACCAAGCCATCCCAGCTGTGAGTCAGGAATGGGAGAAGGGATTTGTTGGTGGGCTGAGCATTAAGAGTCAGTGGAACAGACAGCAGGACACTCTGAAGAGCAGCTCATTGAACAGCTTCACCTCAACTCCCCATTTCTTGAGTGTTTGACTTTCACATTACTTGTTTTAGACCAAGATGTAAAAGCCTTGGTGGATCCTTGCCCCTACTCCCTACTACACAGCCACAGGACCAGGGTTTCTTACTTTTTTAGGATATGAGAAGGGTAAATCAGGAGGAAGAAGGACACCCATGCTGTTGTTGTCTTTTCTATTCTGCTGCCCATCAGTGCCAGCAGATTATGGCAGATAGGTTTGTCTTAGAAAGGCTTAACTTGAAATTCCATATCAGAAAACATCATGCTTTGAAGGTCTTGAAGTCTGGTCCCAGTCTGTCATAGGCCCAAAACTGGACTGAGACAAAGCTGGAGAAAAAACTACTTAAACAGAAAAATCTCCTTTATTTTGGTATGTCTTTAAATTGCCTTTGGAAGAGACCTGAAAAATTTGCTAAAGAAGCTGATAAATCAATGTTACTTGAATTGCTTAAGGATGCAGCTGACATTCAGTAATCAGAAACACAGAAATAATCAGAAATACAGAAATAATCAGAAATAGGGCAAAAAAAATCAATCTGGCAGAACCAAAGGGGAGCAAAGAGTGGCCCCTGAGTAACAGAATCATGGGCACAAGGAGGGAAGAGTTTGAGTTTGTTTTTGTACATACCACGGAGTGCAAGAGGTGGGAATGATTCAGAAGGTGGGAATCCACCCGGATCAATTCACTGAAATCCATTTTCACAAGCACTGTCACGTTGTACCAGAACATCCTCCCTGCAGTGCAGGAAATAAAACAGCCAAGTCATCTGAGGTCTGCTGCTACAGAAGGCCACAGAGCTTCAGGGAGGCTCTGAGGAAAGCGAGCAAGATTTCACTTGGCAAACATTGGGGGGTCACAAACAGCCCAGCTAGGGCCTCGTTTGCCATATGCCACAGACAGAGAGATGGAGCCAGCCCAGGAGAAGGAGCCAGGGAAGGTTTGCTGGACCCACAGCACCCACACACCACTCAGAGGTGCCAGCACTGAAGCTGAATCTCCTGGAATCCACCCAAGGCACATTCCCGTATTTGTTTTAGGAAGAGCTATGGTAACAGTTTTCCTGCCCACTCCCACCCTCAAGAGGGAAAATGAAGGATATTTCTGTTAGAAGCAGCGTTGAATTTATCAGTAACATACCCTCTGGCATGGGATCCACACAGCCTGCTCCTTTGGATGAGCTGCAGCATTTTTTCAGCCCTGGACATTCAGTGTCGAACATGCAAGGATAATCAAATGTTTCCATATCCTTCACTGGACAAATACCAGGTCTTGAGGCAAATACACTGGATCTATTGAGTGCTAAGTAACAAAAACATTTCTGAGAACAGAAATACAGAAAGTTGTTTCCATAAAATTGTGATATTTCAATTATACCAAACACCTCCTCCTCATTTCAGAAGCGTGTCTGTTCTGAGTTTTTAATGGGAAGAAAACAGCAGCCTAAAATATCATTATTTCATTTCAAGGATGTAAATATTCTCAGATCTTTCTCTTGTCCATGACATTTCTGTTACAGAAATTTTAAGTTTCTAACTTTCCATTAATAATTATGGATGGATGGGCTCACAGGTAAGTTTCTAAATGTGGAGATACTGAAGCACTGAGAAACAGAAAATATGCCTGATATCAGCTGTGACTAATCCAAATAATATCTAATGATCAAAGAAAACAGGTAAGATAGAAGTTGAGAACTTTCATTTAACATTTTGTGGCCCAAATTTAACCGGAGTTGCAGTAATTGTGTTCCAGCTGGCCACTCCAGGAGGTTGGTAGCCCACGCCAGAGAGGACAGCTGAGGCAGGAGGTGGCTGATTCCCAAGCCAAGGGCAGACAGTGGTTCTGGGTCAGTGCCAGCACAAAATCTCTTCTAGGGAGGAAAAGAAAAAATATTTCCAAGCCCCACAAACTCACTTCTTTACCCACACTCTCAAACACAGCTCCAGGTAATGCTCAGCTCTGGTCTTTCTAAGCAACCTGAAAGAAATATCTTTTCCATTCCTTTTGCACCTCCAGGTTTTTGATCCTTTACTGAGCAATTGAAGTCAGCCAGGAGAAAATGAACCTGATTGCTGCAATAGGAACAGTTGTGGTGCAGGAAAACCACATTTGACGTAAGAAAGCCCAGAGCAAGTGAAAACTCCACAGCAAACTATAAATCTGTTATGAACAGTCAGTTCTGAGGGTTTACAATTTCTGTTATCCCAAGGCTCTGGATGAGAGTAAATGTGAGGTTTCTCAGAAGCAGGAGGGGATATTGAATCAAGCACTTTTGATCTCAGCAAAGTAACCTTCCTGGCCAGGGAAATTATCTTGATTAACCAAGATTTAAACTGAATCTACACAACTTCCTGCCAGATGCATGTTCCAGGTCCTCCTCTCTCTGGGGCTGTCACTCCACAGGTGACTCCCCCAAACAGGTCCTTTTCTCAGAAATATCCCTCTTGATTTTCAAAGCCACTTTCAGGTGTGATACAGCCTCAGCCAGGGAAATTATCTTAAATAACCAAGATTTAAACACAACTTGCTGCCAGATGCACATTGCAGCTGCTCCTCACTCTGGGGCTGTCACTCCACAGGTGGTTCTGCCAAACAGGTCCTTTTGCTAGAAATATCCCTCTTGATTTTCAAAGCCTCATTCAGGTGTGATAGAGCCTCAGCCAGGGAAATTATCTTGATTAACCAAGATTTAAATTGAACTTTATAAAGCCAGGGAAATTATCTTAAATAACCAAGATTTAAACATAACTTGCTGCCAAATACACATTCCAGCTCCTCCTCTCTCTGGGGCTGGCACTCCACAGGTAGTTTCCCTAAACAGGTCCTTTTCCTAGAAATATCCCTCTTGCTTTTCAAAGCCACATTCAGGTGTGATAGAGCCTCAGGCAGGGAAATTATCTTGATTAACCAAGATTTAAACTGAATCTACACAACTTGCTGCCACATGCACGTGCCAGGTCCTTCTCTCTCTGGGGCTGGCACTGCAGGTGATTCCCCCAAACAATTCCTTTTGCTAGAAATATCCTTCTTGCTTTTCAAAGCCACATTCAGGTGTGATACAGCTGCCCTTAGCTGAGTCCCCCACACATTCCCAGCCTCAAGTGATTGCTCCTTCTCAGCCTCCTGGGCAGGGAGCTGAGCAGCCTCTCACCCTGGATTTTGCACAAATACCAGCACCAAGGGATTTCCTTGTGTTAGAAAATTCCCTATTCACCAGTGCTCTTGACTGTTCAAACCAGGCAGCTGGACCCAAGCATGGAAATTCCTCCAGCTCTGAGATTCAAGTGCAGTTCAAGCAGGTTTGAGGTTCAAAGCAGGTTTTTTTTCCCACCTGTGTCTCTTTTTTGTGTGTGTGTGTGTTTAACTGCAGTGTAAATAGTTTAATGAGTGCCATGCAATCTCAGAAAACACTATTGAACCCTGGCTGGGTGCCACAGGGCCATTTATCTGAAATCAAAAGGTCATCTTTTTCAGATCAACGGAAACAGAGATGGATTCACTTCACATTGCTGCCTAATTGTACCAGATGCACTTTGGAAATTCAATTTATGCTCTCCCCTTCAATCATGCTGGGGACAGTCACCAACCAGGCAAGCAGTGAGGAGCAAGCCAGCCAACTTCTGTGTCATTTGGATGAAGCACAGGCTTTTCTCCTCTGTTATTTACATAAATGTATGGAGGCAGAACTGCAGCTTAGCAACCAAAGGTCACTTGCCAGCCTGCCTCTGGATCTGCTGTGGCTGCAGGATGGGGCATCTCCCAGGAGATTGATGCTGAGGGACAGCATCAGCTCAGCCATAACCCCCTTCCTCTCCCTCCTTCCATCTGGAAGGGATGGCTTCTTCCAGAGGGGGTGGTGGAGCCAGGGACCAGCACCCTGCATTTGTCTCAGGTATCAGAAGGTGGAGACAAATCTATGAAATGACAGAAGAAGCCCCTGGGAAAGTCTGTTCCAAAGGCAGGCTGGCAGTTCTCACCACAAAACCCTGATTTTGGGGTCCTTGAGCATTGGTAGCCTTTGCTTACTCAGGTGGGTGCTTCCCATCCTGATTGCCTCTCCGGGGGTTTAACTGGAATTTGTGCTGATCCAGCATCTGACAAATATTTTACACCATTCCTGGGTGTTCCTCTTGCCTTGGAGGGGAGAAGGCTGAGGGGGATGTGATCAAAGTTTACAAAATCCCAAAGGCAAGGGGCAAGGTGAACGTTTTCACCAGAGCCCACAATAATAAAATGGGTGAAAAAACTCACTTCTTTACCCAAACAGGAGGAAACTTCTGCAATTTGTCAGCACAGGTGTGGAAACAGACAGCTTCAGAGGGCCTTCCAAAGGCAGGCTGGCAGTTTTCATCACACAACCCTGACTTTGGGGTCCTTGAGCATTGGTAGCCTTTGCTTGCTCAGGTGGGTGTTTTCCATCCTGATTGCCTCTCCAGGGGTTTAATTGGGATTTGTGCTGATCCAACATCTGACAGATATTTAACAGCCTTCCTGGGTATTCCTTTTGTCTTGGAGGGGGGAAGGCAAAGGAGGATGTGATCAAATTTACAAAATCCCAAAGGCAAGGGGCAAGGTGAAGGCAGAGCTGGTTTTCACCAGTGCCCACAATAATAAAATGGGTGAAAGAACTCACTTCTTTACTCAAACAGGAAGAAACTTCTGCAATCTGTCAGCACAGGGGGTGTGGAGACAGACAGCTTCAGAGGGCTCAAAAAGGGACAAGGCAATTCCCAGACAGGATTCCCATCAGCAGACACCGAGGGGAACAGGCAGGGGTGTCAATAATCCCATTCCTGCAGCTGCTGGGGGCACACAAGGGACACAAACTGCAGGGCAGCCAGAGCCACCTGCTTCTGGGTGCAGTCCCACAGGACATTCTGGCACCTTCCCAGCCCAGGCTGATGCTGCAGGGCTGCCCATGTGTGACACCAGTGTCCCCTGGCTTCCCTGTGACAGCCGAGCGCAGGGACAGCTGTGCCCAGCTCCTGCTGCTCTGCTCACAGCCAGCATGGCCACATCTGCATGCCAGCTCTGCAAGGGCCCAGCCCTGCTGAGGGACATATTCAATGAGCCTTTCTTCACTTTTTAGTTGTTTTTCTGAAAAAGTTTTTCTGAAAAACCTTCTTCAGATGTTGTACACACAAAGCACGCTGATTGAAGCCTGACTTTAACATTGCAAATCAAGTGATCTCAAAAAACCCCACAATTAAAGCTGTCTTGACCTTTTTTATTTCAAGGTATTTTTGTATGTGTGTGCTTAAAAACCAGCCTTCATCATGTGCTGATGTACTCCTTCCCTCCCTAGCTGGGATCAGGCAGGGTTAGATGGCAGATAAGGAGCTCTCTGGTTTCATCTTGTGCTGGAAAGTGGGCAGCAAGCCAGCCACCAGGAGAAATACCCTCAGCATCCATTCAGGCAGCTGGAAACAAGCCTGGAGAGCTGGATCCTGTCTCTAACTAAAAGACAAGATGCTGGGAGAAGTTCTGTATGGTGAAGCAACCTTCAGGGTTTCACAGGTCCACGAGCTTGACCTGCAGCCCTGTGCTCCAACCATAGAAATTGTTAAAAGCAGCACTAAGCACCATGAAAATCAGAATCAATCCATGAAGAAAATAAAAATGGCACCTAAGTTGTCTGAAACCAACAGAGAATGGTTTGATCTCAGTTTCTCTGCAGCTCAGTTGCCCATCTGTGAACAGCACACCCACAGCCTTTGTGAAGACAAATTTCTGCCTGTGAATCCCCCAGGATTCACCTTCAGAGGGGATAAATAATTCTGTACTCAGTGAGAGGCTGAGCAGAGCACTGAATGTGCAGGTCAGGGTGGCACACTGGGGAGCTCCTTGAGGGGCTCCATCATCCCTGGGCACAGGGAAATGTGTCCTTGGGGCACGGCAGAGCTGGATCAGCTAATTAAAATGGTTCACTGATCTCCATGCATGGGTAAAAAGAGAGAAAATATTTTTTTAAATTTAATTCTACCTTAAGAATTAATCTCAGCACTTCCTAACTTTTAGATATTTAACTTTCCAGCTGTTATTTTAAAATGTCAAAGTCATTTGTGTTTGCACCTGTAACAATATCCTGATGGACAGACACACAACTGTGAGAACTACCAGAGCAACTTGATCAGAGTAAAGAAACAATAAAAGCAGGGCCTGCCATATCCCAGGCTGGGTAAATGTTTCCTGCTAGGAGGAGAAGGTGAGGACTGGCCAGGAGCAGGATGCTGTGAAAGGTCATGGAGACCTTTCCACCCCTGGCAGGATGGGGAGCACGCCAGCATGGATAATGTCATGAAGAAAATAACAGCAGTTCAGCAGTGAGCTGTGCAGTAATTTCTGCAGTTCCAGTTTCTCTTCTCATCATTTATTTAAGACTGTGTCTAGACAGTGCATTACCATTCACAGAATTTATGACTAATGCCCTGAAAAGCAAAGATACCAGAATAATGTAAACATGGGAATCACCTAGAAGCCATACAAATCCTTAAATGGTTTTAAATATTCCCAAATTAACTTCTACAGGAAGAAGTGTCAGGGTGACCACAGCATTTCATGGACAAACTTGTCCAGAATACCCATCAACAACATGGCAAGGGCAGGGTGGAAATTCTGCAGCTCAGCTTTATAAGAGATTTACAGATTTGTTCATGTTGGATGAAACAGAATCATCAACAGCTCTCAAGCCTAAAATATCCCTGGAGATGCTTTTAAGAGACAGAATTATAGTGGGAAAGAAATATTTCAAGCATTACCAGCATGCTTTTTTCCCCACACAAGAAGATGGTCTTGACTTTCAGAGGTTCAGAAACACCGGAATTTCTTGTGCAAACAGTGACAACCATGGTGACTTTTCCACATTTAGCTGGCACAGCTCTTTCCTTGTACTACAGAATTTAAAAGCCATTTTCTCTGCTTGCCTCTCAGTCTTGCCACTTGATACTTACAGGCACACATGTATGCACATGTCTGTATATCCAAAGGACTTCACTGAAGTAACTTTCCAACCTTAATTAGATGTACTAGAGATGGAACTGATGCTGGAAAACAGAGATGATCAGCAGCAGGTCCTTTGCCTGTCTGACAGATCTGCTTGGGCACACAGTAATCTCAAATTCTGCTTTGCTGGGACTCCACAACAGCAGGATACAGTAAATTAGGAATTCATTTATTTATTTATTTTATTATGCTTTAATTTCTCTTCTCTAGCAAATCATTTTAGGAACAAATAAAATACATCAACCATTTTTGTGTTCCCATCCTGTTAAAATCCTGCTAGACACAATATTCTACCTGTGACTGTGGAGAAAACGCCTGGGGTGGGGGGGGAAAAATAATGTTTGGAAATTCTTTTTCCAATGCTCTGAAGCAACTTAAATGTGGGATGGGCACATTGCTCTTGACAGATCCCATGACAGGACATATGGCTCATCCCCCCTTATGGTTACATGATCCTCTGCAGGAGCAGGTTTGGGGACATTCCCACAGATCTGAGTCACCCAAGTCTTATGACCCAAAACAAGGGCCAGGGCTCCCACAGGACCTTTCCTTCCAATCTGCTGTTCCTGTGTGTGGTTATGTAAATGCCCAGGTCCATACTGAAAAGTGGAAATAGGAAAAATGCAAAAATAAGAGACAAAATTATGTCCTGCAGAACTTTTCTGGATGACAGAAAAGTTCAGCGCTGGTTTAGATAATTCAAGATGCCTGCTCAGCTTAAAAGCATCTAAATTTATCCATTGGAAAAAGAAAGTTCCTTTTCCCCAAGGAATTCCCTCAATCTAGGTCTCAATTTCTGATAAAAATGGGAATTTCTGATTGACAACTGATAACCCTGATATAGGAAGGGGGGAAAGCTTCCACTTTATCAAAGGTGATAAAATCTTCCTGAATAGAGTCTTATTAACACTCAGATTTTATATCAGACCCACCAAAAAGCTCACCAGTCCTCAGACCTCCCACACAGTCACAGGTAACCAAGGAAGTCCTAAGAAAATGGGTTCTCAGTCTAGCTTTGATTGGAAAGCATCTGGTATCACATTGCCCTGAGGTCACAGGCTGTTTCAAATTGGAACCAAAATTGGGTTTGCATTCTGGGAACAGACCCTACTCCACATCAGAGGAGATGTTATCCCAAGAGCATCCTGAATTACCTTTGAGGAGAAAGCTCCTGGTGTCAATGCAGGCGGGTTCAGTGAATTGCAGGCACCAGACAGTGAATTATTGCTCTTGGCCAGGGATAGTGGCCTGAACCTGGACAGGTAATGAGCCCTTGGAGGGCTAATGAGCGGGTGCCTTCCTCAGGCTCTCTGGGAGTTTAGTGAATTTGTGACTAGAGGTGGCAAAGAGCAAGAATCAGGAGCTTTAATCTGCTATGTCTACTCCTTGCCATGCTGGACAAAATTTACATTATTTTACACTCATTTATTTCAGTGAATAGTTACCTATGGCCCAGACTGAATTAAGCCTTTACACATCACAGCTGAAGTGAATCTTCTTCCATAAGAAGCATTTATTTCCTCTCTTATTGTGACTAAAACTTACCTAGAGAGCAGTAGAGTCCAACTTGTTCATATCCTTCACAGCAATCTGTGACAGTGATGGTCTCAGGGACTTCAACACTGTGGAACTCTGTTCTGTGGTGTGTCTGGGGACACACCATCCAGGGGATCCACACTCCACAGGATGCCTTCTTCTCATAGGACTTTTGGTAGGCGACCATTTTAAGCACACTTTTGGTCAGGGTGTAGTTGCACAGGTGGTACCCTAGCAAAGAGAGGCCTTTTTCTAGGAAGCAGAAACAGGAAAGAAAAGGATCAGCATTAACTTGTCACCCTGATGGATTTTGGCTTCCTTTTTCTACCTCTGTTGAGGTTGGGATTGAAGGCACTTGACATGATAGTTTGTGTTCAGACTCAGGTGTTTATTGTTTATTATCAATGTTACACCCTCACAACTGTGAGTTCTGCAGTCTTTCATTAGCAAGGCACAAAAATGGATAACTATCTCTTGTTACAAGGTATTTTAGGACTAAACTATCCAATTAAGAACAGACACCTAGATTATTTCCCCTGTTTAACCCAAAACTGATCACTCAAAGCCCACAATGCAGACTTTTCTGCCCAATTACAAAATATCACCCAAACCCATGAAGAAGAAGAAGATGAAGAAGAACAACCTTCCTCCACCCTAAACCTTCCATCTTGCTTCATATTTATTATATTCTAAAATCCAAAAATCTAAGTTTTCCACCCTATAATATTACATATTTCTAAGCAACTCCACACCCATAATCCCAGCGCTATCAATCAATTTTGGAAGCCTGTTCCAGGCCTTCCAGGTCAAGTGCAGTGTTCTCCAGGAAGTCAGAGTCTGTCTGTACAGAAAGTCTAAAATTGTCAACATCCAGAACTCCAGCATCACCCCAGAGCAGGAGTTCCCTGCAGTACCCAGTGGAAAACAGAGTTACAAGAAAGCAGTGACAGAACCAACACAGATGAATGATTTCCAGGAAGGCTGACGTTGGGAAGAACATCTCTTCAAAAAACAGACACAAGAAAGAATTGGTAGTGACTGCTTGTCATAGGCACCACTTTGGTCATGAAACAATGAAGATTGGCAGAAAATTCAAAGAGTTCTTGGTGCCTTCAGGTGCGAGGCAGAAAAGGGGCAGTTTAACTCAAGTTAATATTAAGGAAATTTACATATGTTAATATAAATTAACAGTAGAGCACAATAGGCACTTGCAGGGCAGAGTCATCCAAGCAGTTTAAAAGCCCAGTCCAGCCTCCTGCTGCCAAAGCCTTCATCACTCCCCACTGACTGCAAAGGGAACAAAGGGTGAGGAACTCATGGGCAGATGAGTCACAGTGGATGTCTGGAATGAGACATCCTTCAGACATCACCCTAGGCTAAAATTGGGGGCTCATACATCACTGGGAAGCACTTCCAGGTATCTGACACTGAAGGTATTCCTGGAGATCCTGCACTGCCTCTCTGCATTTGTAGCAGCCCTTGCTGATCAGCCACTGGGAACCTGCAGTGCTTCATTGACTTTGGGTACAAACAAAGTCAGGGATAAGGTCATTAACTGCATCATTTCACACAGGCCTGGGGATGGGACTCAGCCTCCAGAGTTCTGAAACCATTTCTGATGAGCAGTGAACTTGTTAGGTGCTGTGGAAACCCAGGGCACGGGGAATATTTCTCTGTCTGCTCTGGGGTGCCCTGACCCCCAGGGCAGCACTGACTCTGACCCTCATCCATGGAGAAAGTTTCCTAAACTTCAAGATAGACTGGAATCCACAAAAGTGTGAAATAGATTATAGAGAGCAGTGTCGGTGTATCACTTGGTGAGAAATTGAGGTTTTGGGGTTTTTAGTATGTTGTGGATGGAAGCAAGATGGAGGGCACAGGGTGTTGTCCTGGGTTTCTTCTTCATGCTTCTCCTTCCTTCTTCTCCATGGGTTTGGGTGGCATTTTGTAATTGGGCAGAAAAGTCCCCATTGTAGCTCTTTGGGATCAGTTATTGGGTTAAAAGGGAAAATAATCCAGGTGTCAGTTCTTCCTTGGATAGTTTAGTCTTAAAAGCCCTTGTACCAAGAGATTGCTGCCATTTTGTGCCTTCTGATGAAAAGCTGCTGAACTCACAGCAGTGAGACTGCTTTACTGATAAGAAATAATAAACCCCTGAGTCTGAACATGCAACACCATTGAAGTGTCTTCAATCCAGACCCAGAGAAACTCACAACTGCTACCACCACAAGGTGCTTTGCTTAAAACTGAAATACTTCAGCAGGGATAGGGGAAAAACCCTAACACCAAACAACAGAGAGAAACCCCAACAACAGCAACAAAAGCAGATGGAGTTTAAGAATTAGCAGCGAGCAACCTACAGTCATGTCACAGACATCAGGCTGGCTCCTAATGAGATGTTATAGAAGCCAGAGGGGCTGAGTCACCCTGTGTCCCACTTGGGAAACAGATCAGATGGAATTAAAATGCCTGCATCATCCTCTAGCCAAAGCAGAAGACACTTTAATAAGGATAAATATGAATTAGCTGCAGAGATTCAAATATAGCAGGACTGTTTTCTTTTTTTCTGAGAGCTCTGAGGGCACCAGGGTCAGCCAACAGACAGACTGAAGCTAACACAATATACACAACAGGAATACAATTAAAATATTTGCAGTTTATCATATTTGTATAACTTACCTCCTGTCTGAAAACATGAAATGTGGTAAAAACAACTCAAGAAGGAAAAAAATAATTGTCAGGCTTTTAGGAATCCTGTGCTTTTATCACAGCTGAACAAAACACATTTGTGCAATTTGAGCAGGACTAGGAGAAGAGCTTTGGAGAGAAGGATCCATTTGCAACGCAGGTCCAGAAGAAAACATGGAATAGACTTTGGTGTCTAGAAATGGCCTCTGGCAGCCCAGCTCTGCTCTGCCTCACTCCTCTGTGCCTTTCTCCTGCAGCCAAAGGCAGAGCTCTGGATGTCCAGAGTTGCTGAGGACCCCATCAGGGGCTCGCAGACCCTGGCACGCTGCCCAGAACACCTGGAGACTTGATTTTGATCCTTGCAGTGAGTTGCCAACTTTGTGTGAGGACCTGAAAGTCACACAGGTTTGAATAGTGTAACAATAAAATATTCACGGGGTGAAAATGTAGATTTTAGGAATTTTGTTATGGGGGTTATGGGGACAAGATGGAGGAAAAAGGGCATGTCTAGTCCTTCTTCTTTCTTCTTCTTGTTCTCCATTTTCTGCAGTGATGTTGGCACTTTAGGACTGGTTTAGAGTAGAAGTGCACTGTCTAACATTGGTGGTAGGTATTGAGAATTAAGTGTAAATATGATATATGTAGTTTGTAGTATAAAAGGACAACACCGAGTGCCTGTGGCTGCCCTGCTGAGCAGAACTCGGCTGGGCAGAAAGAAAATTTTATAGATAAGAATTAATAAACAACCTCAAGACTGAAAAGTGAAGAGTCCAGACTCGTTCTTCAGCCGCACGGGCTGAAGCAGAGACATCCTGCACATCTCAGGACTGCAATTATCAACAGCCAACCCAAGAGGGCTGGGTTGTGCTCCAGGGAGAGCCTGTGAGAGCCAGAGAGCTCCAGGCAGGTTCCAGGGGCTCTGTGCTGCTGCTTGGAGCAGGTCAGCAGGAAAGTATTGAGAGCGGAAACATCATCCCTGCTTGTTCCTGCCAGCAGGACAGCCCTGTGTCTGCTCCCTGGGGCTCTGGGGACACAGCTGAGCTCCCCACACCCCTGAGGGGCACCAGGCTGCTCTGTGTCCCCGAGCAGGGCGTGCAGGGAGGTGGTCAGGAGGGACAGAAGGCACCCAGGCTGGCTCAAGCCTAAACCCTGCCTTGGCTAGTCCTTCTGGGCCTAGTATTTTGTATCAGGAGAGGTCAATGAGGTGAGAGGCAATGTTTTGTCCTCTGTTGAGGAAGTTATGCTTAGGCAGTGGATGAAAGGGTTAAAGTATCCCAGGGATGTGGAGAAGTTTGAGAGAGGAGCTGGTCAGAACTCCATCCCAGCCAGGAGAGGAGCCCAAAGGCTGGGATGGAGCTCTGACCAGGACAGGGCTGTGCAGGAGGAGATGGAAGGAGAAGAGAGCCAGAGAAGGCAAGGTGACCTTTCCCTCTGGCTAACTTTAGGATAACTCTCTGGGAGAATGGGAAAGGAAAGCAAACGTGGGTTCTGGAGCAGGAACCAGAGCTCAAGGGCTGCTTTTTGTTCAATATGTTTGATCCATTAGCACCTCACACGAGGCACAAGTGCCTGACAAGAAGCAGGCAGCTGTCATTGCATTTTGGAAAGCATTCCCTTGCCATGTGCCAGCACTGCTCCAAGAATACCTTTCTCTGCAAATGCTCCTAGGCATGTAGGTGTGGGGGGAAAAAAGTCTTGCTCCAACTTTTTAATTTGTTTTTGGGGCTTTTAAAAAAATTACTTATGTGGTTTTGTGAGTCTCAGTTAAATATAAACCATATTTCTTAGAACCTTGCAGACTTTTCTGTTATTCTGTCAAAGCCACAGCTGAAAAGAGATTTGCAGAGATTAGGGCCAATAGAACCTGAATGGCTAAATAACCAGAGTGGAACAGAATTAATACCTAAATAATTTTGGTTATAGCCTTTCCTTGGAGAGGAAACAAACATCTGTTGTGACCAGGGAAGGAGGCAGGAGCAGGACAAATATTGTTCTATGAAAATGAGAAACTCCTACATTAAGGAATCAGACTGTTACAGAATAAAATCAGGTTTGAGGGGAGTAGGGCAGGTGAGAAGCAAGAGCTCAGCTTTGTTCCTCATCCCCATGATCCCTCCTTTTCTCCAGGGCTCACATAAAGCCTGGCAAGAGCAAAGCAGGGACTGGAAGGGAAAAACTGAGTAAGGAGAGCACTGAGGATTCCTGCTGTCCGTGCAGAGCTGAGGCTGCAGCACCAGAAAGCTAAAAATTCCAGTGTCAGCTGAGCTGGCTTAGTCTCTACAGCAATGTGCAACATAAATACAGGTATGAAACTGAGAATAAGATGGTGTAGAATTAGACACAGTTTATAATTGGAAGCTACAGCTGTCAGAGCAGATATGAAGTCATAATTCATACTTAAACATTGATACTAGGTATATATATATACACACATATATATACATATATATATACACACATACACACACACACTAGGTATAGAATGAGGCTGCCAAAGCATAAAGAGGAGCTCTGAGAAGAGGCTGTGGTGGTACAAAAAGATGCCCTCAGTGCAAGAATTTGGACTGAAGGTGTCAAGGAAAGGAGCAGCACCACCAGCCTCTGCCTCATCTATCACTTCCAGACCATTCAAAACAAGCTTCGGCACTCACAGAGTTCAATTATTTTGCTGCCA